ATCTATTCTAATACTCTAATTTCAAAAATAAATAAAAATATATAATTAAATATTTTTAAGATTACTATACTAAAAATTAAATCTTATAAAACTCTAAACAAACTAAAAGGCAAGATAATGATAGATTAAAATATTATAAAAACCATTAACAGCTTGAATACTCCACCGTTGCACCCTAAAAATCAGTTTTATTTTCAGCTTGAAATGTTATCTGGCCACAATTACCCAACAAACTGCCACCTACAAGCGACTTTTTCGACTTTTCCCCTTTTCATTCGGGGCGAGTAATTAGCTTTTGAGGGAAATCAATACAATCTGAGCGGTAACAACACAATCAGCAATCGCCGGCAGTACCGAATCTAAATCGGAACTGGAGTTACGTGTTTCGGGCCACAAATGCCAAATTGTCCAAAGGGTAATCAAAGCGAGAACGAGTGACCAACTCCGAAATCGCCGAGCAGCTGCCAAGTTTCTCACGAGAAGTGCACTGAAAGAAATATATTGTTATTTAGTATTTAAAATTTACTTTGGCTTTCCAAAATTGGCATCGTAGCAATGTTGAATTATTTAGAAATCCATATATTAATAAATCAAAAAACTTACCAATGCAATGTCTAATAACTAGATAAATTAAAGGATTTTTTAACAGATTTCTCTTTAACTTTCCAGATAATTATACTTTTATTGATAAAGGTCCGATGTATTCAATTTAATTTTAAATCAGGTTGTATTTTTATAGCAATTTGTTAAATTTTGTTTTAATTGTATTGAAATGTGATATTTAAAACGATACAATTAGAAATTAATAATTGTCTTTCTCTCTGTCTTAAGGGCTTATTAACAAAAGTCAAGTGCAGGTGGTCGACTGATTGCATTTAAGCCAAAACGCCTCGTTGGCCAACAGTGAACAGTTAGTTGGGAGCAGTGACCAGCGAACAGTGAACAGTGAACCGTGAGCAGCAGCGGTAAAGGTAAATCTGCGGTTTTTCCGAAAAGTTTCCGCAACATTTTCGCATTGCCAGCGAGAAAGTGCATTTAATTAAATTTCCTGTTGTTCGGCGCGTGTGCAAAAAGCATTGCCTACTTCTGCGGGCGGGGCAAGAAACTGTTGCACATGCGGCCGCAAAATGTTGGCTGCTCATGACACCACCAACCAATAGCCCTCAACCACCAACCGAGCACCACCGAGCCACTCGGAGCCACTGCTGCACAAATAGCGCAAATAACAATAACACGGGCTCCAGCCAGAGCAGCAACTAAACCCAAACAATTTGCAGCATCTTGCCAAGAAACATCTGCGAGCACACAAACACATTGCAGCCGAGCAGCAGCGTCTACAAACGAGTAAGAAATTATTACCGAAATCCAAACGAACTGGAGAGACTCTAAGCGATTCCGAACGAATATTCAAGAAGTGCTGAGGTTCTTAAAAAATTATAATTAAGATTAGTGGACTTTAGAAATTCAGTAGCCTAAAGAATATCTCTATCAGGAGAGTTCTGTTTAAAAAAAGTTTGAGTTTCAGGTTTCCTAAAAGATGAACCACAAACGTATTTAAAAACAAAACATTATTTATTTGATAGGCTAGACATTTCTTTGCTAAAATAATTTTGTATTTTTATATTCACGAAATACTGAGGTTCTTACAAAATCATAATTCTGTTCAGCGGACATAAGAAATTCAGTAGCCTAAAGAATAACTCTATCAGGAGAGTTCTGCTTAAAAAAAGTTTGAGTTTCAGGTTTCCTAAGATGAACCACAAATTTTTTTAAATACAAAACATTATTTTTTTGATAGGCTAGAAAATTATTTGCTTAAATAATTATTTTATTGCTATCTATGTTTTCTGTTGTACTTAATGCAGCCAATATATATTATTTTTGATCCCACAAAAGTTTCTCATTTGTGTGGTGATTTTGAAGAGGGAAGTTATATTACCAATATGCAGCCTATTTTAAATAAATTGAAAGATGCTTGGAATAAAAAACTCCCAATCAAGTTCATATCCCCTAAAACTCCTGTCGATTGGTTAGGGTATTAAGAGAAACTGCTGTTCGTGGACAGCAAAATGGTTCTGCGAATTGTTGCCGCATTCAGCGGAAATGCAAGCTGAGTTAGCTTTATGTTGTAGTTGTTGTCCTTGCCGAGGCTCCTGCTGATGTTGTTGTTGTTGCTGTTGAGGTCCTGTTGTTATTCGTGTTGTGTCTGGTGGCATGGCCCATGAATATTCATTGCGTTTGCCGGGGCAGTCATTCATTCATTCGTGATTTCACGCAAAAGGGGCAATGCGAAGAAGCTGCGGAAAACAATGAAGAGGAATGGCACAAGACAAAACATGAAGCCAAATAAATAAACAAATGTCAAGCCATGTTGCTGAGGGCGGACTCGAAAGCCAAGAAATTGGCGTGAAAATAAATCAAGAAATAAATTGGAAAATTTGTTATTTCAACGAGTGAACAGCAATAGTTTCGAGGCAAATGTTAGTTCAGCTAACTTGTGTTGGGACCGTGCTAAAAGGAATCGGTTTGTTTTTGAATAAATTGACCGGAATTGAGAGTTAAGGAGAAATACGAGCGGTTACTTATCGCTTTATGAATAGAATATCGATTTATTTTAACGTCTCTAATTTAATTTTATTGTTATTACTTTGACTTGTTATTGAAAATGAACTATATGGTTCGCTTCATTCTTCTTTTAATATATTTCTCTTTATTTTTCTTTACCTGTCAATGTCCTTCGTATCCAGAGAAAGTCAAAACCATTTCAATAGCCTGCAGATCTTGTTTTCCCCACAATGCTCTCTTTTCTCTTTTTCACTTTTTCTCAATAACAATTCGGCTGGCCCTCAAAGTAAAGGCCAATTAAAATGTCCTTTAAGCGTTTCTGCAATATTAATTAACATGGAAAAGGCAGCAAATACAACGCACATGTATTCCTTAACCAGAAAAAAACAAAATGGCATGTGCAATGTTTGGCAATCGACTCGAATCGAGGTCGCCACGGGTGATGCGAAGGGTCAAGCAAACGCCTTTATTTAATTGCAAAATATTACATTTTTAAACAATATCCATTAAATGTGGCAGTGGCAGACTTGGCTGCTTAAGCTGCAGTGCATATAAATAAAAACCCCGGCACTCCAACCCCCCGATATCAACTGCCAAAGGTAATCAACTGCTGGGAAACGTCGCATTCGCAATGAAATGTTGAAAAGTGAAAAAAAAGAATCCTTTTAATGTGGCCCATGTGCACGGGGAGGGGGGCTGGCACAGAAAGAGGGGGACACCGCCCATGTCTGGGTCTGGAAAACACAAGTTCGCGTCTGGACCTTTGTCCCCGGCAGAATTGTGGAGTGGATTCCAGTTGCGAGCCGAGCGGACTGGGCCTGAATGGGGTCATTTACTTTGAGTGTTCGACGCTCATTTAAATGCAAATTTAAATGAAATTTTAATCCAGTTTTAAGGGCGCAGTTGGACACTCTGGGGGAGCCTTTGATGTTCCAGCTCATCTTGCTGATTACCTCAGGGGACCTTATTGGTTGCCAGTTCGATTCTGGAACTCTATTACAGGCTGCAATGATCGAAAGAAGCTCAAAAAGGTTCCCTGACTTTTGGGTATTCTAAGAAACTACTCTCATAAAACAGTAAGCATCTTAAATAATATTACAAAGTAATTCTATCTTTTAAGTATTTCCCAGTATATTACCCACTCACTTCAAAAATAATCGAAACGAAAGCCGTCCTGATCGGATCAAAAATCTGCTTAATATCTGGACCATCCAATTACCATTTAATCGCAATCTCTTCAGCGGCGGCCACTCATGAATGAAAATCCTTAACTAAGTTAATGCCCAGCCACAATTCCGTGATAATGATGATGGCGCTGCAGCCGAGGGATATAGCCGATCCCCATTCAACTTGGCTACACTCTCGCGCATTGATTGCATTTCGTGTCATCCAATGGATTTACATTTACTCGCGCGGAGCTGCGTCCACCATCAGGCATAATTTACAGCGCATTAAAACCTCCGATGATGATTTATTGTTGTCCTTGTTGGCCATGTCCTGCGACCTGCTGCCGCACCGCAAAAACATATTTAAAGCTACGTATTTATATTTTAATGAACATGGGAGCGGTGATAAAAAATCAGAGCTTAACCATGTTACAATGCACGTGGGCCGAACAAATTATGAAGTTTGTCCTGCAATCAGTGTGCGGGCGAGTTGGTGCCACATGTATATTATGTGTAATACCGTGATGCAGTGCAGTGTTCAGCAAGTGCCATCGACAGGCGATTACTGTAGTGTTGCCCCTGAAGTGGGATTTCGGTGGTAACATGTGGACAAGTGCAACTCGAATACCAAAGGATTATACTAATGGAAGACGAACAATGGCTTATAATTGTTTAATTTAAAATTAAAAAACATCTTAACAATTATACATTAAAATTGTAGACATCTTTATTAATATATTAGCGAACAAATTTAACATTCTTCTGCTCTGTTTTTTGAATTATTGCATTAGTTAATTAAATGTTTTATTTCAAGTTAAATGTTTTAAAAAGGTGTTAAAACAATTTAGTTACGAAATATTTATGATAACCACTTTAATTTATTTTTTAAAAGTTTGTACTAGATAGTCCTGTTTTGTTTTATGTAATTGAATGAAATTAGCAATATAATGCCAACATTGGTTAAATATAAATTAAATTTTTTTAATCTTCTAATTGTGAAAGAGTTTTAAAAAAAAAATACAATTTTATGTTCAATTAAATTAGTATATTGGATCCACCAACATCAAGAATGTGTTAAAAATTTCTCCTGTCAACAATGGCATAGAAAATGATTTAATTTAAAAAATTAAAAAACTCTTAAATAAGAATTCATAAAATATATAATCTGAGATACACATTTATTCCTTTTTTTCACCATCTCATTGATTTTACCCATTCACCTGCTAAAAATGCTCCAATAAATCCTGTCTTGCAGCAACGCCCAAGGACATGCAACCGAAAATTGGTAACAGCATGCCGTCAGCGGCGGCAAGGACTACAACGTCGACGTCAAGAAGGAGCAGCTGGGATGAAAACGAAGGATCCGCATCCGGCCGCGACTCGGTGCTGACTTCGTCGACAGCTTCGCTGCAACCGCCGCAGGATAGATTCCGGAGGTCGGGACCTGGACTGTTGATTTTTCCAGGAACCGCGCAAGGACATCAGCATAATCCAAATGGCAGCACGGGCAGCAAAACAGTTGCGAAAGCTAATGACGAGAACGTGTCCATTAATCAGCAGGGACCAGCCAGGAGCATTCGCTCCTTTCGACGACCACCGCTATGGCAACGTCCGCCAATGGATCCTGGGGAAGGGCAGGAAAAGCAGGTCCTGGATCGGGAAAATCCAAGGGAAAGCTACAGTGCCTGCCTGGTCAAAGCGCAGGCTTTCATAATCGAGTTCCTGCAGGGCTCCTCCATACACGGCTTCATTTATTTGGCCAAGCTCGGCCTGAATTTTGTCGAACGGTGAGTTGTGATTTGTATGCTACTTTCAATGGCGTGGACACGGGCGCACAATTGGATAATCGGTAATGGAATTGGGCAGGAGAAGGGAATCACAGGATTGAGGGAAATGTCCAAAAACAAAGGACAACAAGGGCAATCAACAATTCATAAGGCAACTTTTGTTATTGCCAAGACTTGAGTGGGAAAAAATCTCCCATGGAAAGAAACTGAAAAAAAATAAAAGGCTCTTTAAATTAGCTATTTAATTGTCTTGCAATTTTTATGCAAATATTTCTTTATAAGATGAATATTAATTCAATGTTCAAGAGTTCTTGCCATCATAGATCGTTTAAATTAATTTATCAAAAAATAGACTCGGAATTAAACATATATTTGTTAGCACAAGATTTTTTTCTTGTTATTTAAAATATGTGTAGAAAAATAAAACCCCCAAATGTCTTTTCATCCCTCTTTAAATAACCGAAATTCTGTGGCCTCTTAACCTGGATCTTATTAGGCCAATATATGGTTAAGCGGCTGCAAAAACTCAGTCAACATTTCCGCCCAATTAATTTACAAGGGAAATTAATGCTAAGCCTCATTACGGCCAGAAATCGCTGGCTTAACTTTTATAAAGGATTACTACAGTTCGCCCCTTGGAAACCATAAAGTGAAAACTAAAACGATACAAAACTATAAGTCGGGTAGTTAAAAAAGGACTATCCTGCGACCGCGGCCACGTGCAGAGATTCTGATTCGGATTCATAGCGGAAAAGTCCCGAAGGGGAAGTGCGTGCTGAACCAAACCCCCCCAGCCCCCCTCCCCTTCCCTCCCATCGAAAAACTTCTCCAAGCGAAATACATTTTTCTACATATCTTCCGTTTTATGTGGTCGGTGGAGGAAGGTGGATCTTGTGAGCTGAAGTAATATTTTGTTGCTGGAATTTGTATTTTTTTGCGGTGCAATAAATCCTTAAAACTGACATGACATGACAAACAGGATTACACACACGCAGAGAGGGGTGAAGAGGGGAATTCTCCGACTCATTCGCTACCTTTCTCGTTCCGTGTTGGCCATGGCAAAGCTTAAATTGGCAACACTCCACCAAAGTGGCCGGGAGAATGGGGCAGGGGTTGCGGATGCGGATGCGGCGGTTGGTGGGAAATCTGTCAGGGCTGCCGGCTGAGGGTTAATTAGTGGATAACAGCCAGGACAAGGACAGGGCCAAGTAGACACTGAGAAAAAGACTCAAAACTGTCTCGATGGCTTTTATATAAAAACTTGATAAGACAATTGTATTGCGTGAAATAAATTTATTAAGTGCTCGGCAATGCCTAATGATTATGGATCAAATAAATCTAAAGCACATTTACATCTCACAAAAAATGTATTATAAAAAAAAAACTTTTTGACTTTAAATCTTTTTTATGAAGTAATATTATTAGGTAGTACACACTTTTTAACACTTACAATACAAAAAAAAGGTTTTTTAATACAAAGCAATTCATATTTTCATTATAAAATTTTGACAATTAATATAGTTTAGTATAGTATTTAAAGTTTATTTGTATTTTAAAGCATCAGAAATTAGCTTAAAACTTATGAGAAATTGATTTAGAAAAGTGACTGTTAGCTTCATAATATTAATATTAGAATCGTTATTGAAAGCTGCAAAACAAAATCCGCTTTCGTTTTTTGCCAAATAAATTTATTTCGTGATTGCAATTTATGTCCTTTTTTTTAAAAAAAAATTCGATTTTGAAGTAAATTTTCTCTAAGTGCCGCCAATGAATTTCCCCCCAAAATCATGAAGCTCAATTACAATTATTGTTAGTTTTCCACCACGACTAAGGCCCAACTGACAGGTGTTGCCCCAGGAAAGGATCAGAGTGGGGCAGAAGGGAGCTCGGGATGAAAGGAAGGAGGTCACGCAAAGCTTAGCTTTAATTAATACACTTCCCCCGATGCTTTCATGAAAATGATTTGTTGGGCGTTTGTAGAACATTTTTCTCGGAAAATTTATTTCTTTGACCAATTCCACTTGGCACAATTCAGATTTATTTCGCCCGGCAAGCCAAAAATAGAAGGGGAAAATATGCTTTGCCATGGCGAAAAATCAGCTTGTGACGCACAAATTTCTGGATTATGCACAACTCCAACCAAAACCCGACTTAAGCTCTTCCTCCCACCTCCCCCCTCAAAACTAAAGCAATTCCACAAAAAAATATATGAAAGAACCACCTCGCATACAAAACAAGCTGGGGAAAAAGGGTAGTGAAAATGCATAAACCTGAGAGAAAGAGTCTGTGTCGCTGACATGTGATAACCTCAATTTCACTAGCGTTGATATGGTAACTATGAGGGCTTTTCCAACCCCCTCTTTTTGGGTGGCAGCGACAGGTGCACGATTGCATAATCCACAACCGAAAACTGCAAATGCAAATGCAAAACACGCAGTGCCGTAGGACGCACTGGATTAGGACGGTGTTTTAAAGGGGGAATCTGAAATCTATAGCAGGGCATCGCGCTTTCGAGTGCCCTGAACTCCGTCACAATTTAAACCCTTTTATTGGGTCGATTCGATATTCCATAATTGGAGGAAACACCCATTCAACCATTGAACCCATTGAAATATATATTGCAAAAATAAAACATCAAAACTTTTAAAATGATTTTGTACAGCAAATATACATAAAACCATTGCTTAAATTAATATGTGATAATTTTCTAACAATTTAACAACTAACATTTAAATAAGGATGGAGATTTACCTTTACTTGAGGAGACTTATCATCCTCATTTACATACATTTTATATTTGTTTTTAAATTTGTTTTTAATTTATGTTTTATTTGTTGGAATCACTAAAGTTATCACTTGGCTGTCATATTTTTGTTTTGATAATCATCAATACTCAAGTCTTTCTCTTGCACTAATTTTTCTTAATATGTTAAATAAGTTATTTAATTTCAATTTAATGATTTTATTTCAAAAGTTGTATACTTTTAAAACCTTCTTAGCTAGCAAGCAAAAACTTGCGGAATTTCGATTACCGCTTTCTGAGAATTTTAATCCTATATCACACATTTTTCAATCGCATAACTCAAATAGAAACTATGTGGGAATTAAAGAATTCAGCAATACCCAAAAATAAATTCAAACAACAACCCCTTGGTGCTGAGTTTTTAAACGAGAAATTTGTGGAATCAAACATGCATCACTGAGCCTCATTCACGCACAAATTTTATGCATATGAGTGCCGAGTTGATGAAACAAAGCAAATACATAAATTGCAGGCCAGACTGACACGAGATGGGAAATGTGGAAATGGGTGTGGGAATGGAAAATGGCAATGGAAATGACAATGAGTCTGTCATATGCGATGTCCAAAAGGAATTTTGTGGTGTTAGACAAAGTACAGCACTCAGCTGTCGGAGAAGAAAATTCCAGAAAAGCAAAGTGCGGGGCGGAAAGCTTCGCACAAAAATAATAAAGAGTTGGAAAATGTTTGGGAAAATTAAAAGCCAAGTAGCAGAGTGTTTGCTTGTGTGCAAGCGTTGAAAGCTTTATGAGCCATTGCTGGCATTAAAATGTCATTGTCGACGACATTCGCCTGAAATGGGGAATTCAGCAAAGGATTTTTGGCGACTTCTGTCTGTGTCTTTGCCAGTTTGTTTGTGGCCGTTCAAACAAAAAGGAACAAAACTGAGGAAAAGCCAGTAAAGGGTTGCAAAAGCGTTGATGCGTTCATTGACTCCTCCTTCGAGTTGGCCATAATTCTTTCGTCGCGAATATTTCGCATAATGCTTACAGAAAAAAAATTTACACGCAATAGATTTTTATGTCCTCCGCCACAATGCACACTCAACAGCAGTGCGAATTATTCCCCCGATTCCATATATCATTTCTGACTCTGCCGCATTTTTGAGTATTTTTCCGGCTTTCCTATCCTTTTTTTAGCATGCTCTGGTTTGCATTCATCTGCGTGGCTTTATTCAGCATCATCTCGCTGAGCAAGCGGACCTGGCATCGCTTTCAGACCTCGCCGATGGTCATATCCATGGATCGGAATAAGCTGGTCTGGAACACGAGCTTTCCATCATTGACAGTGTGTCCTCACAAGCGGATCGACGAGTTGAAAGTGGAGGAGTATATACTGTAAGTACTACACATATAAGTTTTTTGCAGATCATTTTATTTTACATAGTATTTTTGATTTTTTTTCATTTTTGTATATTTTTCCAAACTTTTTTATAATTTAATTTTAAGCTGTGCAGTCGTCGCTAAATGCTTAGAGCTAATTTGCTAATACATTTTTTGAACACAAGCGAGAGAAGACACAATATATTAATATTTTTCAATGCACTCCATATTCATATTTACTTCCAATTTTAATCGCTTCAAATGAGAAAAAGAGATAAATAAAAAATAAAAATGTCAGAGGCAATAAAAGCATTTCCTGAAAACTTAAAAATATTTAAAATAAATTTTTTTAACTTTACTACTTCTAACGAACTTTAGAAGAATATATTGAAAATTTAAATTTATTTCTTTTGATGCCAACTCATAGTTCCCATCCCGACCAGTTTTTGTCCGAGGAGGATCAAGAGGATTTCCGCGATTTTATTGTAAAACTTGCCAGCCTCACTTATGACAACTTGGAGACGCTTCCGCTGAACAAATCGTATGGGATTCCGGGAGTGCAGTACTTGGACTTGCTCTACGAGCTGAAATGGCCCTTCGAACCGGATATCAGCAGCGGCACCGCCGTCAAAATGTACATCTACGAGACGCAAACGGAGTTTGGCATTTGCCATTCAGTGAACTCACTGGTGGCCCGCTACAATACCTTAAAGTGTGTAATTTTTGGCCAGGAAGTGGCTCTGATTTTATGATTTTTATGACTTCTTGGCAGCTACTGGCGCTCCGGCGAGTGGAACCTTTTGGACCACGGAGATCGGGTCACGGTGCATCCGTTGGATGGCGAGATCTACGCGCAGATTATAAACCTCTCGACGGCCTACGATGTTTATTTCCACGGGGCCGGGGATGTTCCGAGCATATCGAAGCAGAGGTATACCTTTCCAGAGAGCGACTACACCACAGTTGAAATCATGGCACTGGAGATCTACACAAATGAGGAGGCAAGAGCGTGAGTCAACAAAATAGTTATATCCTTTAATTCATTCAAAAAAATAAATTATTAATTTACATAAAATTGAAAGTGGAAAATATTTGTTATTCAGTATAACTAATTTTGTTTTAAATTCAAGTCCGATTTAGCATATTGTATGAAATTGATCAATTTATTACTAAAATAGAATAAATACATATGAAAAAAATGTTAATATTCCATATGTGGCATATAATATTATAGATCATTAATATTTTTATTGCTTAAAATAATATTTCAAATATTTGTCAGAAAACATATTACAAATTTAAAAACAAGCTAAAATATTTTACCATAAAAATTTAAAAAATAAACACACACACTTTCCGGTGTTAAATAATCTCTTAAAAATATATCCCACATTAATGTTATTACATATTTCCCAAGTAAAAACTTGGTTTATAGCTAGTAAAATAGCTCATTTAATAATAACGTGAAAATTAGTCTTTCTCACATCATTATTATATGAGTCCTTTTACTTTGGTTGTATTCTTTAATGTTTTATGAACTTTTCCGGTAGTTTCAGCGCCAAACAAAGGAGCTGTCGCTTCATCTACGAGGCCGAGGACATGTTGACGGTGCCCATTTACAGCTTTGGACTCTGCCTGTCCGAATGCCGAATGTTCTTCGCTCTGCAGGTCTGCGGCTGCGTTCCGCATTTCTACCGGAACCTCTGTGGGTATAATCATATTTTCGGGACACAGAGTTGCACTTAATTGGCCCCTATTAAAGTTAACTTTTATGCGCCGGACGGGGATGCATCAAAGCTGCCCAGTTTAATGGCACAAATTCGGTCGTAAAATGTTTAAATACTCGTAGTTTAAGTGGCAACTTTGGCACGATTATCTGTCTCGCTCCAATGGGCGCCATCCATCTCTTTCTTTTATGTTTTTCAGTGCGAAATGGTCGAAGGCTGCCAGTTTGCGGGCTGGAGGGCATCGGATGCCTGGTCAAAATTAAACGTGAGTAATTTCCCCCGTCCGAGAACATGTAAATATTTAACCTGCCCCGGAAATTCGATTTAAATTTTTCAGTCGAAAAAAATGGGCAGAAATTTCCCAGAACGTGACCATAATTTAATTTTTTCAGGGGTGGTCAAAAGTCAAGGCTGGAATAGGGAACCTGTTGCGTAATTGAAATGGTGGAAGTAATTTGCTGGGGAAGAGAAGATTATCGGACAGGTTGACATTGATAAGCGGGATAAATATTTTGAACGAACCAGCTTTAGCTCATTAGAAAAGAATGAAAGGTGATGAAAATAGAATATTAAGTTCAAGCTCTATTTTTTTGGGGCTACCTTTTAAAATTTGTTTGTGGTTATTCTAATTTTTTAGTGACTTAAACTTTATAGTCTCTAAAATAATCGATTATGTAAGTAAATAAGTAAGTAATTTTTATAAGTTTTTAAACTAATGGCAGACATGACGATAGCAATCGTTTTGTTTTATAACAAAGTCGAAAATTCCAATTATGTAAAAAATAATTACTTATCGCACGTTTCTTTCCTACAAATTTTCCTCTTATTTTTTAAGTGAATCATAATAGATGTATAAATTATTTTAAATATATAAAATAACGTTTCCACACAGGCGAGATAATCTCCTTAAAATCGGACAAATACAAAATCAATTGCAATTGTTTGGCCAACTGTGATGATTCCAACTTCTTTGTGCAGTCCCACGTAAGTACAACATCGCACATAATAATAAAAATAAATGAAAAAAATGGCAAATCCGCTATTAAAAAATATAAAGTAAACTTTAACTGTAAAAATGTTTATGGAGAACAGAAGCGCCATCATCTAGTGCTCGTTAAGTGGCAACTGCAGACGCCGCTGCGTCGCGCATTTCAAGTGGAAAAATGCCCGGAAAACTGGGGAAAATCCGCCGGAGAAACGGAGCAAGGCGGAGCGGCGAACATTCGGGGGCATTTGCCTTAAACAAACATCAAAATTGTAGTCCAGAGCTATAAAAAATAATAAGCGCAGAAGTTGCAGGAACTGGGCGCCTTGAAATATGCAATTATTTTAGGGATGAGGTGTACGAAAAGGGGCGGCAAAACCAAAAGTTTTGTTTAACTTTTTTCGCGCTGTGTGCGGCGAAAGTTTTTACATTTAATAATAATTTTTGCTTACTTGCCTTGTTACCAGAGTACTGATGATGATGATGTTGTTCCCATTTTGCTTTTGTATTTGTTATCTGCTTATCTGTATATATTTTCCCCGATTTCTCTATTTTCCGGCTTTTCCAGCGCTCGCGTGTCTGGTTCCTGGGCGCTAATCTGCAATGGGGCATTGGCGGAGGGGGTTATCCCAAAATGCAACTCCGGCGGGACGTCCTCTTCTCCTTCGCAGATGTTTTGGGTGAGTTTTCTCGCGGGGCAAACTTTTAAGACTCACTTGAACCGCTCGCTTTTCACTTTTCACCTCCCTTTCTTATTTTCAGTTTACATCGGCGGCCTTGTCGGTTTTTTCTTGGGCTGCAGCGCCTTAAGCTTTACGGAAATTATCTATTACTTCACAGCTCGATTTGTGCGACGCATGTTTTTCAATTGATAGTCAATACTAGATGTTTTATTTAATACTTTCACTGAAATCAAAAAGAAGATTCAAATAAAATGTGACACGTTTATTTGATTTATAGCAATAGGAGACACCTCCTATATTTTATTTAAAACGATTTAAGTCTTCATTTCGAGATCCAAACTTTTAGCGTGTTTATTCTTAAATCTTTCTATGAGAAGTTTCGAATACAATGTTAATAAATTTGAATTTTTTTTCGTTATAATTCTTTATTTATTGTTTTATTCGTTCGGAATATAAATACAATTAAAAAAATAAGTCATAAGAATAATTTTCGAATAAAATTCTATCAAGATATATATTGAGATATTTAATCGAGGTCGATCATTTATTTAACAACGTTGTGCAGTTTTCTACTTTAGTCACTCATGCTCAAATCGTCGTCAATCCCAGAGGCGGCCCTAATCTCCCTCCACCGTTCTGTGATCGAGGATCCTTCCCTAGTCTGCTCCCCATAAGGTTGTCCTTCGGGGCTTTTCTGTATTGGAGGCGGCTTGACGACAGCGTGCTTTTGAATGTAGAAATCGCAGCGTTTGCAGTAGCTATGCGACTTGTTTCGTGGCTCAAACTTCTTACCGCAAATGGCACATTCCTTGGGCTGCAGACGGCAATTAGAACACCGGTGTTCCTTCTCCGAAAGATCCGTCCATAGGCATCTTTGAAAGCACTGGGTGCACATGTACAGCTTATTGTCGAGCAAATCCATACCTAAGAAGCACGTGAGTTATGAACACAAAAATCGATAGATTAAAGAAAAGAAAACAGACCCAGAGAAAACAGTTTCTCATTCAATGTCGTTTAAAAATATTGACAACTCACTTGGGAAAAATCAAAGCCAATGCCTTCTAGATAAAAGTAAAATTGCCAATAATAATGACAAAAAAAGAATACAGTCTTCGTTTTAAAAGTTATATTAGAAATTTACAAATAAATTTATAAACGATATAACATATACATTTTTGAGTGGGAAAAATGCCAAAAAATAATTTTTGTTTTAAAAATAAAACAAATATATACGTCAATAGAACCCGAATACACCGACGACTACCTACTCTCTTGTTTGTTGATTGTAGTAAACCTTTATTTTTCTCAAGTACATGGTTTTCAAGCTTTAGCTATCAATCATAATTGTGAATGGCTAATCTGACCGATCTGGAGGAGATATTCTCGTATTTGTATCTGCCCTATCACGCCAATTGCTGCAACATCTTTTTATTGGCCAAACATAAACAGTCGCGCCGGCCTAATCAAAAATAAAATACACTTTGTGCAAAGTTGGCGAAAATTATACCCAGACTCCCCAATTTTTCCACCTCATCATCATTGAACCTTCATTGTCCATGTTTCGTCGTTGGCATTTCAATGAACTGTTTGCTTCAATCGAAGAGAAAGAGACGGGGGAGTGGGAAAGAGAGGGTGGACGCCTGTCAGAAAGGGACGACAAATTGCGCTCCTTTTGTATTTTTGCCAACCTTGTCGGATTTTATTATTGGGGTCGTCGGCAGACATTGAAATTAACTTTCCGTCTTGTTCACATGTTATGTGTGCTTAATATTTGTCAAATAATTTGTAGTGGCAAGTTATTTTTTCCAGCCATTGTTTGTTTGGAGATATGTACAGTCAAACTTCAATAAGTATGTAAAATTGACTACACATAAGATACCATTTGCTGAAGATTGGTGTCCAAATCTAAATAAAAATAATTTCATATTTTTTTTTCCTAAACGTATGTAAATTGATATATTTTATAAGAGATAAATTTTTAGAGTAGACAAAAAGTAATTAAAGTAAAAGGAACACAAACGGGCAATCAGTAAATAAGCAAAGGAAATTAAATATTACTTCCACATTCTTTTTTTTGGTGAATCCTGGTCAAAGTTAGGAGTGTTTGACTGTATTCTTAAATAGACAAATAGTACTCCCCTAGCAGTCTCATTTCTGATATTTGTCTTGACTTTCGCACAACTGAGTGAACTGTGACTGTCAACAAACGCCAAAAACTATAGTTAAGAAAGTCATGAATTTATGCTGTCCTTTTGCAATTCCCTTTTCGTTTTTGCGGCGTCATCAATAAATGAGTGAGAAATGGTCGAAAAACTGGGTCATTGGAAAAAGGGGGGAATTATTACTTTCTGTTAGCTTCGGTTGATCTGCTCCAAGAATCAAAGTATTCATCTCTGAAAATCACAATGGCGAAATCTACATTTCAATGGCTTCATATTTTCTATGCAAAACCGCACTCTCCCTTTCGCACACTTTCTAGCTGTCTCCCTCCCGCAATCAAATCTCAAAGGAATTGTCAAAGTGTATGAATTTTTTTTGCACCTTAGCTGGTGGAAATGGAAAAAGGGGGCGTGGAAACCACAATCCACACGAGAATTTTCTCGCCACCGCCGGCTGCATTTTAAATGAAGAAGCGAAAGGGCTGGGCACTGAATTTAGGGTGTGGACTGTGGGAGCTACGTAATACGTATTCCCCAACCTTGCACTTTGAAGTTTTGGGCAAAAGGGTAGCACCACTTTTTGCCGCATAAATTTGGGAATTATTGAAATTTATTGTTGAAAATTGCCAATGGCACAAATAAGGTTAGTGAGTGGGAGATCTTAAAATATAAGAAATGAGCTTATAAGCCCATTTAAGTTACGGCTAAAGAGTTCCATTGTTCGGTAATCCTCTAAACCGGCTTTTATTTTTTAGATTTCTCAAAGGTTTTGATAAATTACCTAGCTAAAATGTTTATACAAATTTAAAAAAGAACTCTTAGACTAAATTAATTTACGTTTGAGAATAATTTAGTCCCTAATAAAAAAGTTGTTTAGAATAAGTTTTTAAAACAAGTTTTTTATAAGGGATTCGAATTTTCTTTGCCTAAAAACTAAACCCAAGGAAAATATAAAAGGAACCCACTTTTTTAAAGCAGATAACAAATAATTCGTAACAAAATTCTTTTTATTAACAGGTAATAAGTCATTACGAAAACATTATTGATTTTATTTTTTTTGTTTTACATTTATTACCATACATTATTTAGCATTTTAAACATAAGATGGCTCGCCAGTATTTGACTCCTTTTTTTAAAACTGTGAGTGAATTTGTAATATTAATAAAGATAATACAATTATTATTTCGGATTTGAATACATACAAATAAAAATCTGAAATGCCGATAAAACTTTAGAAAGTCTATGTTAAAATAACATTAGCTATTTTAATATTTAAAATTTATGCATGATACGTGGATTTACAGATATACTACTTTTAATACAATTTACTTTTAATGTTGCTCTTTTTTTTAATATTTATAGATGAAAAAAATATTTTTGATATCTTAGATGTTTTTGACGTTCATAGATAAAAATCACAGTAGTTGTCGGTGAGAGTCCCTGCTTTTAGTCCTTTGATTCGGTTGGTGTCCATGCTATGGAATTTGTTACTGCTTTAGTTCTCTGCACCAAACGTCTTTTTTCAAGTGTTTCCAAACAAGCTAAAATAAAAAGTTAAAAGAAGCCCATTATTGACTGGCCTAGGACTTTTTATGTTTCGTTTATTTTTATTGAACTGCAAAGGTTACCTAAATGTAAAGCCAACATCTCAGCTTATTATGTGGTTTAAAATGTAAGGCTAATAACGAGTATATTGCATAAAAACGGAAAATAAGCAATATAATTTAAATTGGTTGGATTAATTAGTAAATACATTCTTTTGTTTCTACAATTGAATTTGAAAAGTAACGACCTTGTTGGCTATCTTTAGACACGGTCTAATTTGGCTATAATTTTGGTATTTTCGTTAAATTAGAAAGTACGTTTGGTATATTTGAGCTGCCTCAGCGCGGTCACACTGAAGGTGGAGTGAAACGGCAACAAAAACAACAACTGCGGATTTGTGGAAATTTCCGCAAAAAACAAAATAAAAATAGACATTGCCAACCTGCAGAGCGATGCACAAAGGGGCGCCACCTTGGCAAGTGGGTGATGCCAACGAGGCATCCGAACTGGATGAGCAGGTGGCCAGGGACCGGAGCATTCCCGACGCTGAAGTATCAGTGACCGCCCCCAAACAACAACTGATAAGAAGCAGAGGGACTTTCGATCGCAGGATGCTCCTTTTGGGACTCATCCTGGCCCTAATCCCGCTTCTCCTGCCCTCGAGCAATGCCACCCACATCAGTGGACAATTCCAGACGGAAGACTTCTTCCAGTTCCTGATCAAATTCGGCTTCAACAAGGCGGATCCAACGCGACGGAACGCCTATGGATATATCTACGGCAATCTCACGTCGCCGGACGAGTATGCGGTTCCTTTGACCCTCGTCGTTCTGGACAGGAGCACCTTCCTCGAGTTCTACGGCAATCGGACGCATTGGAGCCGGGAAGCCGCCTGCACGGGGATGTTCTCGCGCCTGAAACGGATCGCCTACGATTCCACGTGCAATCCTCGAGCCAAGCGGGATTTCCTGCGACACGTCCCGTGCCCGAAGAATCAGCTCTGCAGCGATGAGGATGCCCCCGAAAACGTTGTCCCGGGATCACAGTTCACCTATGTAATCAACCTGGAAGCGGAACCAAGGTGAGCCCAGACATATACCGCGTTTTTGTCAGTAAACTTAACTCAAACGTAGTTGAGGCGACGTTTATATATCCCCGCATTTTGTAACTCCCAATTTAAATATAGTTATGCTTATTCACAGACACAAACTGCAAAAGTGTAAAGTATATCTAAAAGGCTAATTTTATTAAAATTTTGCAATACATTGAGGGGGACATTTCCCACCCCACAAAGTAAATGTATTTCTGAAATCCCACACACCGAAATTAAATAGAAAGTCGTTTGGAATTTGGTTAGAAGAGTTTTGTAATACTCACTTATATATAAATTTGTTCAAATTTAATTTATATATAGGTACATATTTATTAGTGAAATCTGAAATGGGCTTGATAAATCATTTCCAACAATGAATCATTTTAATGCCTTACTCTACAGCACTATCTTCTGAAATTCGTGTTTGTAAATAAGTTAATTAGTTTTGTCAATGATATGTACAGTGACATAGGAAACCAGATAAATGAATCCGCAATATTCAAGTTATCTTTGTTTATTTATAAAGCACACTATCTTCAGAGACTTAACTGAACAAAAGGTTCAGAATATTTGCTTTTTAAAAGGTACTTGCAAGCAAAACAATGGATGTAATCACTGTGCTTTTCATGACTTTGAATATTTACAATTACAGGTTGTTTAAGATTTTACCGATCGTACTAAACATTTAGCTTTATAGACTCAAATATGTATATAAATATAATTAATTGGTATGTTTTGATTATTAAAAATAAAAACTGTAATGTAAACAAAAAAAATTTCTAGTATATATATGTTCAACCTTCTATAACTAATCTAAAACACTTCTCCGACAGATTCTGGTACCTCTCCTTGGTGGCCTGCTATCAAAATCAGAGCACCTGCCAGTGGCACGCCCACCAGAGCCTGCCCAAGCTGAGTAAGCTTAAGAGCAACCTACTCAACACCCTGCATTACGACATCCACCTGGTTAACTTGCACCCAAACAACTCCGCCGCACATCCACTGACCTACGAGTACTCGTACGATCAGCAGAATCTGCTGGAGATGTATCTGGTATTCCTGCTCGTCTATATAGTGCTGCTGCCAATGCAAATTTACGCGGTGCGGAGGCAGAAGCATCCAGTGACCAAGTTGTTTACCCTGAGTCTGCTTAGCGAGTTCGTTAGTTTGGCTCTGATCACCGCTCACCTGATTCATTATGCGGCCAATGGAGTGGGCGAGCCGAGATTGCAGGCGGCGGGCGATGTCTTGGACATCTTAAGCCGCACGACCTTCATGCTGATCCTGCTGTTGCTGGCAAAAGGATGGGCTGTGACCAGACAACAAATAAGCAGGACAGGATGGATTATCCTTATGTCCATCTGGGTGCCATACTGCGCGTTTCACGTGTTCCTCTATATCTGGGATCGGGTGAGTTTCAATAGAATTCAAATCAATATTTATATACCAATTTAAATTTCTAATTTATTTGCTAACAGACGGAAGTGGATGTGGTTTCCGACATTGACGAATACCAGACCTGGCCCGGCTGGATCGTTTTGATACTACGGTAGGTCCTTAGAGATCAGCCCAAATCCAAATCCTGCTTATTCACTTTTATTTAATTTAAAGCACCTCCTTTATGATGTGGTTCTTGTACGAGCTGCGCAACACAATGAAGTACGAGCACTCCACTAAGAAACTGGACTTCCTGCTTCACCTGGGCGCCTCCAGTTTGGTGTGGTTTATCTACCTGCCCATCGTGGCTATTGTGGCGCTGCAGGTCAGCCCCATGTGGCGCTACAAGTTGCTGCAGGGCATCACCAACTCGGCTGACTGCATGGCCTACTGTGTGATGACAGGTCTGTTGTGGCCACATCGAGCGGGTCAATATCTGCTCTTAGCGGGTACCAAATATGCGGGTGAGAATGGTTGATCTAATGGGAAATTTCAATGATTTATAATTTTACGTACTATGCAGGCATGGATGAGTTGGATGAGTTCAACGAAGCGCCGCACATCGTCAGAGAACGTGAGAGGCGTCGCAATTCCCCGCCTGATGATATTTCCATCGGCATGGGGAGTGGCGGTGGTCGAGGGATGGTCCTGTCTACAAGCATTCCACATTCGCTAAACGGCGATGCCTGCAACGATCTTCTGGAGGCGGAGGATCTCGACGCCGAGCTCCTCACCGATCTTAACAAAAACAGCCATATTGTGGCGTAGATGCAACGGGTTATTTGGTAGCTGTAGAAGTCAATTGTGCTAAATGAAACACGGAATGTTAATCATCCTAGCAATTATCCATAGATATAGCTAGATTAAAGTGGGTTGGTTTTTTCTAACAAAAAAGTTAAACAATTTTTCAGTTGAAAAAAAGTGGTTTTTGGATTGCTTTGAAAAATGAATTTTTGTGTCATTTTAATTAATCATTAGTGGTTACCCCTTTCTTGTTAATTATCTTGGGACAAACTGAAATATGAATAAGCGTAAATAAGAATCAAATAATATACTTTTCAATAATTACATAAGACCATCCAATTAAAGATATTAATTAGTTTTCCATATTTGTAATATTTGTCACGTAAATTTCATTAAATCTAAATCATCGTTACCGAATTACTTTCTGCATTCCGCCACACTAAATTTGTTGTTGAAAAAATCGACCCACAATAACCTAGTTATAAACTTATCTGCGTGTATATTCCATATAGTGTGTACCCATTTACAACGAAGTCAGAGCGAGTGCAAAAAATGCATCAGAGATTGTTGTGTGATTTTATGTAATATGCTTGAATTTATAATTAGTTTCTAGTTAACGCATAGGAGAACGATTCGATTCGGTACAATAAGCTTCAGCATCATCATTTCGTTGCGGTAGTTATTGCATAAGCTTACATTTTAACGAACTACCGACTACCTATAAAGATAAGCATAGACTCCCAACCAACCAGCGGTATTTTGATAAGAACAAACCAAAACATAAGCCAACGTCTAGACAAAAATTGAAATTGCAAAACGAAAGATAGTGAAATAAATGAATATTTAGATAAGTACTAAAGAAGGCGCCTTTGATTTGTGTTTTTTGTTGTAGCACATTTCCCCGTTTGAAGTAAAGCCCTAAATACTCTTTAAAAAAATTACAATTATTAATTTTGTACTTTGGTTGTTATCCACAATATAAAATTAGTTTTATTTTCGAATTTACTAAAAATAAATGTGCCGCATACTTATTTTGTTACTATAAAATTGTAAAAACGGAACAAATTTTGAAAAATAATAACAATTTTTTTTGTCCCCTTTAATAAAAATGTATTGTTTATTTTTATTGTGATCAAATATTTTGTAGTTTTTTTCCAAAAGAAAATTATACTTTTTTTACAAATTTTTGCATATGTTTCAACATTTGTTTGCAGATTTAAGATTTCTTAAAACGTTTACGATTTTATATTATCTTTTAACTTATATTGACGTCATTTGCTGTATGGATTTAACTTGGTCAAGGGTAACTACTTAAATAACTGAAGGTCCTATTGCATGTCCTATCATAATTCCCACCACTTTAAATCCCTATAGACTTCTTAGGTTTCCGTTTACCCAAATGTATGCATTTGATGTATTTTGCTCGCGTAAGTTCTAGTTTAATCCTCAATCGACATGGTTCAAATATCCCTCCTCCGGATTTATTTTGAAGTGAGTCGCTTGATAGGCCTTTGCAACCTGCACTACGATTCCCGAAACCAGCGATTCATCCTTAACCATGTGCCCACTGTGACTTACTGCCTCATCCTGAATGTGGTCTACCTTTTGATCCTGCCGTTTGCCCTGACCCTGTTAACGGGCAATATTTACAAGTGCCCGAATGTGGGCATGTTCGGAGTGGTCTACAATGTGGTGGCTCTGACCAAGCTCCTGACCATGCTGCTCCTAATCGGCAATGTTTGGATACAGAGGCGTCGGTTGCAGAAATTGGGAAATAATCTGATGGAAATGCTGCATAAATTTCGCTTTGCCCTTGGAAACGATTGCAAGAAAAGATGTCTGTGGAAGGTTTTGCTGACCAGCTCCCGGTTTTTGCTCCTCACACAGCAGCTCGTGTCCCGCGACTCCGTGGTTCGATGTGATGTGGACTCCAGTTTCAGGAGAGGCTTGGTTCCATACCACTTGGCTGCCATACTTTACGCTTTAATCATGGTCCTACTGGTTATCTATGTGGATTTGACGGTCTTCATAATGCAGGTTGCAGGGAATTGGCTGTTGGTAAACATTTCCCAGGAGGTTCAGGAAATGATTCAGGATGTGAATGCCCTGCCCAAACGAAGCGGTATACCTCGAGAGATGGGTTTAAGGCAAATTGTGCCCGTATGGCGAAAACTTTGGAAACGCTGTCTCCATTTGGATGAGGTTCTCAAGCAGATCGTGAAAATCTTCCAATGGCAGCTACTCTTTAATTTGCTCACCACTTATATTTTCAACATAGCCACCTTGTTTCGATTGTGGATTTACCTGCAATTTGACAACAATTTCATTATATGGAAAGGAATATTTTATGCTTTTCTATTTCTTACTCATCACGCCGAGATTGTAATGCAGTTTTCCATTTTTGAGATTAGTCGATCGAAATGGTTGGAGCTTCTCGAACGTGTAGGAAATCTTTGGGACGTCAATTCCTCGGAAAGCAAATACAAAAACAGCCATGAAATGATCCTGTCCAGACAGGTAAGTATTCTTAATTTATTTTTTTAATTAAGTACATATTTTTGTTTTAGCTGGAGATTTCCCTCTTGTATCTCAACCGGAAACTTCAGCCTAATCCCAAACGAGTAAGACGTCTTCACATCGTTAAATTTTTTGACTTGAGTAATTCATCTGTTCATAAGATGTCCAGATCTACAATAACCAATGTGCTGGTCCTCTGTCAGATTGCCTATAAGATCTATGGCTGAGAAATTACTTTAGTTATGTCAGTTTTTATTGAATGTTCTCATATTACAAAACAATGTCTATTTTTTTTTGTACTTTACTTACTAAACCAGAATTTATAGCTAAAGTTAAAATTTTTACATTTATTAAAGTATTACATGACTAAATCGTATTTTATAAAACTCAAATTTCCCATAGCATGTTAAAATGCTTTTAAATGGTTCAACGCAAAAGCTTTGTTTTGGAGAGTTTATAAAATTATCCGCTAGAAAATCACCTGCATGACCAAAAAAAGTTCAAACTCGAATTTTACTTGTTATAAACGTCCTGAAAGCTTTCAGATACCATACACTATAAAGGGCATCGGAAAAGTCCTAAAAGCTTAATAACCGACGGTGAAAAATGAATATATAAAGTTTATTGTGATATTACACCATGCAGAAATGTTTATTTGTAATATAATCCCTTGAAATGATTAAATACTAAAAATATCTATAAAAGCTTATCCATTTACACCTGGATTTTGTTCGGCTGTTGTTGCCGCCTTAAATCAAACTGCATAAGGATAATGACGTGACTCAGAACGGACTCAAAAAAACGAAGGCCAGCTGGTTTGTCTAGCTCCACAAGTCCGCAGATTTTGTAGGTCAAATAATTGCCTTTTATTTGCACGCTAAAAGCATCCAACTGCAGAGAAATATTTTTAATTATTTAGATCAAATCTGATTAAATTCAAGGACTTACCTCCCTTTGCAACTTTTTGCTCACTTTTGGAAGATCGCTAAACTGCTTCAGCTGCTGACCAGTGTTATTGCAGGAGCTAATCACGTCATCCAGCATATTTATCAGCATCATGGATCCACAGATGTTACAAACAATCAACCCATTGCCAAATATAAGGCCCCAACCATCTGATTTGATGGTTTTATTGCTGAATTGAACAGCATGATAGAAGATATTCAGTGTGGTCATGAACATGTTAATAAACACGGTGGCATTGGCAATATCAAAAAGGCTAAAAATTCTCCTGGCCAACTGAATGGTTTCCATGTGCATATTAGCTATGGAGCGAAGGGTTTTCCAATTCTTTCCGCTTTTGTCCTCATGAAGAGCGTTTAAAGCCAGATGGATTACCTTGAACTGATGATCCAGAAGTACGAGCAAGGCATAGAAACCCATTTTAATCGCTATGAATTGCAGAAAGTGCGTGAGTCTTGCACTAAGAGCTAGTAAAGTGTGTTGGCTGATCACACTTAGCAATTGGAACTGCACCACGGAGGAGAACATAAATCCGACATAGAGGACCATTACCTGTCGCCACATTATCCTGGCCAGCGAAAGTTGTAACTCTTTGAGCTCTTTCCTATTCACTGTGGACTTCATAATGTTTCTGAACCTCTTCCAATAAATCAGCGAATCCTTGTAGAGCTGAATGATTTCGTGCCGCTTTAGCCACATGGTTCCATAGCAGCTGAGGACACCCAAAACTCGCAGAGTAACCATCGCAAAAAAGTTCCACTGCAGTACAATGTTGTATTTTATATAGCCGTCTACCAAAGCCTCAGGCAATATAAGGTAAATGCTCACGAACAGTCCGACGCCAATAAATGCACTGTAAATCAGGTAACTCCACGCAACTTTCTCCAAGCGAATGATTTTCCCGTAGGAGCGCAGCCTTAAAGTAGTTCCCATTAGGGCAAAGAACAAGCAGTTGTAATAGACCAAGTTCATCACGCGACCCAGTTTCGGATGCAACATGTTGGACCTAAGGTCACTAGGTAACTGGCCAAGTTCTGAACTCGGAAAAACAGTAATTAGGAGAAAGTTAAGCGGAAAAGCGATGAGTTGGCAGGCTATCCGATTTCCGCTGGATAGCGGAGCTTCCATCGATTACCAAACAGTTGACAGTCGTCCTTTGCCGGTACCAGTTGCTGTCAGTCATGTTGCTGAAATCCTTTTACGCATACGGATTAGTTTGTGGCCTAGTGCCGGCGCCTCTAAAACACGGAAAGTTCCTTCAAGGACGATCCCAAAAGTGCTACCTCCTTTACACGGCCTGCCTGCATGGAGTGCTCCTGATCCTGCTGCCGTGCACATTTCCGGAGTACATGTACAGTGAAAGCTACATGAGCAGCAATCTGGTGCTTCAATGGGCCTTCAATTTAACCAATATCACCCGTATACTGGCCATGATTTCGGGAGGTCTAATGATGTGGTTCAAAAGAAAGAAGCTTCTCGGATTAAGTGAAAACTTATTAAGCCACTGCTTGAAGTGCAGAAAGCTTGAGGATCATACTACGAAGTATATTACCTTGTGGAAGAGGATTCGAGGACTACTTGCACAAATGTTTTTTGTAGTACATCTCACACTAATAGTGTCGCTTTTAATTTTAATGAAAATCGGTACAGATCAATGTTTCAACAATACTGCAATGATTGTGGTGCATATCACCCAGTTTATATATGTGGTGATTATGATGGCGGGTCTGTGTGTTATCCTTGTAATCCTTCACTGGCAGAGTGAGCGTGTGCATATTGCTCTCAAGGATCTCTGCTTGCTCCTTAACCACGAAGAGCGCAACTCTTTGGTTTTATCGGAAAATAAAGCGAGAAAGTCTCTGAAAATCCTGCGAAATCTTTTCCAGCTTTATGCGGAGAACCAGCGACTGATCCGTAGAGTTTTTGGAACTTTGGACATTCCCATTGCCCTTCTACTGCTAAAAATGTTTGTAACAAATGTAAATTTAGTTTACCATGGTGTGCAATTTGGCAGTGCATCTATAGAAACCTCTAATTACACGAAAATCCTGGGACAATGGGTTATAATTTCCCATTACTGGAATGCAATTCTACTAATGAATGTAGTAGATGATGTGACCCGAGGAAGTGGCCTTAAAATGGGAATCCTCTTGCGGCAATTTAGTCATCTGGAACTTGTCAAAAGAGGATTTCAACTTGAGGTACTATTTTTTTCCATTTTTATATATTACGTATTACTTTTATTTGATTTTAGCTGGAAATCTTCTCCGATTATCTGCGTTGTCATCCGGTAGCTTATAAAGTATGCGGACTTTTCATTATTAATAGACAAACGAGCTTAGTTTATTTTTTTTATGTCCTGGTTCAAGTTTTGGTGCTTGTCCAATTTGATTTGAAGAATAAATGTGAAGACAGACATTAAAGGCGATAGCAGTGAATTCGGATTTAAAAGTTGAACGGTTGTCAACGCTGAAAATCTATGAAAAAGTGTATATATAATATAATAATATTTATTTAATTAATACAAAGCGAAACAAATTTACAATATTATAATCGTTACCTTAATTATTTCAGGACTTATTTACAAAAAAAATAAATCGCAATAATTTAATTTAATATTTTGATTTTAAAAAAATATGTTAACAAAAAAAAATATTTAAACGATTATATTTACAACTCAAAACAAGATTTATAACTCACATCTGGAGCATTTAAAAGAAAGTCGTCACTTACTAACTAATGTGATACAATTCAATCGAGATTAATATGTAGGCCAGTTTTTCTTTTAAGCTCGGGAATGTTTAACTTTTGCTTGTTTAATTGCTCGTTGCTTACCATATTAGTTATTAAATATTAAAATCCATTAATCAAATTTGTTTTCGACCGCTGCGGAGCAACAACAAAGACACCAAAGGCGTTGTGCAGGAAGCGGGAATGGAGTAAGCAGACCGAGACTTCATGGAAAATTATTATAATGGAAGCCAAGGTGGCTCATTGATTAAACATACATACATACATTTGTATATGCATAAATACATATGTGCATCCTTAGGTGCTTTTGGGTTGCCAAAAATCATAATATATTTACCCGCCCTCAAGCAGGAACAAATTATACAACCAAGATAATTTCAATAAGACCATCAACTCCATACAAGTATACACAAAGTCACAGCACACGTGCGCACTGGGAGAAAATGGGAGTAGCTTTGGTCAGCAATGCCGTATTTGTGTGAATATTTCATCCGTTATGTATCACAAAAATAATTGGTCTTTCTTTATTATGAATTTGGAAGCATTCCCAATTAATTTACTTTAAAAAGGATATACATATTTACACTTACGAATAATTAAATGTACCCAATAAAAAATTAAATGTAAATTGAATATTTTTATAGATTTAGTTTAGTTCAAAACATTTTTGGTGCTGACTTAGGTATGAAGACATGTGAAAACTGTGGAATAACAAAAAACAATATTTTACCATTATTTATTAATAACTTGTTAAGCCATTGTAAATGTATACTTCACATCTCTGACAAAAAATTAAAATTTCAATAAAAATAATTATATTTATTATTAGTTATTATTTAAGCTTTAGTAATAAACTAAAAAAAAATAGTGGGTAGTTATACTGTATATCAGAAAACAATTTAATATTGTTAGGCCTTTTTCATTCCGTGCAGTGACTCTATGTAGTGAAACCTCTTTGTCGGCTAACAAATCAAATTTAATCAGCCCCCCCGAGCAGGATTTGGCCATTAAATCTGGCCTGCGGGGTGCAAACTATCCCAACGCTTAACCCACTCTCGCCGCCTTAGTTTGCCTTTAACCCCCTCGTGCAGTTCGATATTCCTTAGTTGCTTTTTGTATTAATTCCAATTATACGCACGACTGGGGAATTTTCATTTGGGCTGAAAGGATTTTGGGTCATTATGGCCTCCTACTTCATCATTTTCCTTTACTTCTGCCACTTCTTCATCCTCCGATTGTATTGTTCTTGGGTCTGAACTAGTTAAAGTCCGCCCCCCGGGAAAATGGGTCGGGATGGGGTTAATTGGCCAAGGTTTTGTGTATCGATAGCAAACTATGCTGGGATTGCGATTGTGACATGGCCGAAACCACAAAACGAAAGCAAACAAGATTTCTTTTGGTAACTAATTAGCAAGCTCGGTAAGTTTATTTTGCAAACACTCCAGTTTTCCTCCTCCTTTGGGCCTCTTTAATTAACCCTTTGACAGCAATAAAAAGAAATGAAAATTATGAAAATGACCCGAAATATGGTCGCTATAATTGCACTTTACTTGCAACTTTCGCTCGATAAATTATTTTTGAACATGGAAAGTCATACAGTAGAACTTTGCTCTCATTTTCCAGTAAACATTTTCTTCATAAATATTTGTATTTTATTAACAAGACACTTGCTTTTCTACACTTAAATTTGTACCTAAACATTCTTATTATTATTACTTATTATTAAAGGTTTTTTGAAAGCGATTAAATATGTATGTGTTTCCTTTGATTTTGAGCTATTTCGACTGTACTTCAACTGTAATTTGATTTTTCCGATGTCATTTAAGTCCTTTTACAACGAAAATTAGTCAAGGGCAGACGGGACCCCCATTTGAATTTTGAAAACTCCATCACAGTCCAGTGAGCCGAGTGAAAATTTGAATATTTCGTGCATCCCTGGTTTTTGCATGCCCTTAAAATGCAATTAATTTGTTATAAAGTTTTGGCAATAGTTTCGGACTAAGCTTCGTTCAACATTGAGCCCTCGCAATGGACATGGACAAGTTTTTCGAAGGGTTGCCGGGGATTTGGGGGCCGGAAAAACAGTTATCAACACCAGGAAAAACGAGGGGGGGAGCGGATTCAAGAACGGGGAACCACACAAATGTGGGTCAAGTTATTTTCAACACTTAAAATATACTCTCCTGCCTTGGCTCCTTGCTCTTTGCCAAAATGCTGGGCAGCCTTTTCTTTTGCCGCCCATTTTCTGGGTCAGTCGCCCGCCCCATTTTACAAACCATTTTCCACCCCAAACCCTCTTTGTCATCGCCGTCGCCTCTGCGCATAAATATAAATTGTATTGTTTCAAAAAAGTTTTCCCACTGAGTTTCTGCGGCCAGCGGAAAAAGTAGTTAAAGTTTTGTTTTCGCCGCTAGTTTATTGCGTGATTTCCTTCGCAATGACAGGCGGTGGGTGGCTGGTTGGTTGGGTGGGTGGTTGGGTGATTGGGTGGTTTCGGGTGGTTTTGGATGCCGGGTGGTGCGGTCTGAGTGCCGAGTGATAACTGCAAGGCGAAGGTGGCGAGAAAACATTTTGCCACATAATTCACAGTTTCTGCCAGTGCATTTGTGCGGCTTTTAACAAGTTGTGGCTTTCTTTTGGGAAATACCAAATGAAATGGAAGCAGAAAACGGGAGAAAACTAAGGAACACTCATTATATAAGCGGATTTCTAAAAATTAAATAAAAACCTTGATTGTGTTGAAAGGGAATAATTGGAAAGGGATAATATTTGAATTTTATTTAGTGTTTGGCAATGACTTTTGAAGTTCTTGTTGTAAGAAGTTTGAAGGAACCAGAAAACATCGAATAGAAAACATAGAATATTTTAAATGAGCTGAGAAAGAATAATATATGAAAGTAACAATATAAAAGGCAATAAAGAGATCACCAAATAATAAATAAAAGTAATGGACATTCTTAGCTTGAAGTCTCCACCAAATCCGAATCACTTTTCTATTTGTAAATCATAATACATTTTGACTAGCAAGATAAATATGTATTTTAGTTAGTACAAATGGTAATACGAAGTACACTATTATTTAAAATCTTCAATCTAAACCAATACCATAATGATACCAAACTGAATTGCCAATTTTTTGGTGATTTTTCTTAGCCCCAAACAAACCGAAAACCAGCTGGTTGCAATTGCATGCATTTCGGTAATGGCACCACCTTCGAATGCACTTCAACTTTAAGGGTACTTGAGGCAAGTTTACAATTCCGCCGATGCAAGTAACCGTTATGCACGTACCGCCGCGTGACCAGAAGTCGAGGGGCGGTGAGGGGGGCGTGGCCATTTCCACAGATCGGTGCTTTTCAGTCGAGTCCTATGGTCTGGCAATTCTAATTGCATTTTTACTTAGTCCAGAGTCAAAAAGTTTCTGCTTCTTGGGGGGAAACGCGAAGAGATTGAGGGGAACGAGTGTGCGTAAAGTTTAATTAAACGTGTTTGATTTATGACTTGTTGGGCATTCGACTTCTGCCGGCAGCTGCAACCGCAATTCCAATTCCGACAACCTAATGCGTTTATTTTGGGTCCGGCGTGCAGGGGCGAAAGTTCTCCGCTTTTCCACGCTTTTCCACTCTTTCCCACGCTGGACATAAAAGCCAAGCACCTTTATGGCATCTGCAGCTGTGTGCGGGCGTTAGAGTGCCGTGTGCCATATGATTTCCGTTTCCGGTTCCGTTTCAACACACAATTCCTAGCACCTTGCAAACGCCGCATCTTTGGCCCGTGTTCCATTAAGCGTTTATTGTTTTCGTGGCCATTAAAGTTGCATTTTGGCAAGAGAACCACCAAGTTTTCCTCAACAAGTTCATCATCAAAGTTATAGCACAAACAGCAGGTGCGAGACGAAGGGCAATCTAGGCGCAAATCCCTTGGCTCAGGATTTTGGGGCCGCAAATCGGGTCAGGCCACAAGCACAAATCTCTGGCTCAATCCATGCTGAAAAATATTCCACGATAATCAACTTTGATACACGTTTCCAGGAGCCCAGTGGCACGGCCTTCGCTTTTGCCTTGTAGGCTTTTCCGCCCTGCCATGCATTAAAATGCCGAAAATGATTGGGAAAATCGCAAAAGAAATCCGGAAAAGGCAGGCGCACAAATCTCCGCCTAGCATCGAGGCCAAGGCGAAAGTCCCGCTGTCCCTTATCCATATTTTTTATGGCCAGGGAGGAAAATGGGAAAAGTTTATGCTAAAGCCACTCTCGCCCTCGTCGATGAACTGTGTGGATAATCGCGAGGCCTGTTCCTGCCCATTTCCACTGGCTTAGTGTGGCCTGTTTGCTGCGGTTGTGTTTGTGGGTGGTGTTTGGTGCTGCCAAGATGTTGGCCAAGTTAATACGGTCCCAGGAGCTGGGTGAAAGGTAAATGGAAATGGAAATGCTAGCCCTGTGAATGGGGTGCAATTAGAACTCGTATTTTATTGAATACTAAGTAAACAAGACATCTTTCTTGTGTTGAATGAAATAAAAGGGACAACTGGTGGTTAAATTTCAAAATTCTCTTTAAAATTGTAAAATACACGCTTTCAAACAATGAAAATAGGGGCATCCCAACATGTTCGTTTTGCTAAGAATTTTCATAAAAATAAATCAAATTCTTTTATACCAACTAACTAACTTTTAAATAAATACGCAATCTGCTGCTTTATGTGTAAAACATACAGGAATTCATATTTATCTGCTAACTCTGACATTATTGACCATGTTATATTTGTTAAAAAGTTTTCTTTGTTTCGCCAGATATTGACCGAATAAATATATACCACCCCAGAGATATTTTAAATTAAGTTTAGGCCTGAAAGTGTATACTCTTGAAATACGAGCATACATTTAGCATTTAATTAGAATTTAATTAGCCATGCATTTATCTACTTTTAGTCGTTTTTTTAATGTGTACTTACCACCATGCTCTTTTGTACGATAATTCAGAGCTACAAAGTAGTGGCTTCAACCCATTTAATAAAGTGCAATCAGTGCCAAGTGCTGAAAAGAAAAAATGGCCTGCCTAACTGAATACATATTCTATGCGTGGACAACTATGCCAATTGCTTTTGTCACAACAAGCTAATTGGTACGCTCAAGGATAAATGGACAAAGAGGACATAACATCAAATGCATATACATATACAAGCCCCGCAAACGGACAGCCAAACTGACAAAACACAACTAACAGTTCACAGGCGAGTTCATCTATAATCCACTACAAAATCATTTCATAAATGGTGAAATATGGGAAGAAATATGGGGGGTAGCAAAAAAATTAAATATATTTCATTTATGGAAACGTTTCGTTTTTTGCGAAAATGATATTTTACATTTAACATGACCAATTAATGTGCGGCAAAGCCGCAAATAAAACCGCTTAATTACGTGACACGGCCAAAAGGCAGGCGAACCAGACACCAACAAAGGCAAACGCGGCTGCAGAAATTTGCATGACACGCATCGAAATGAAATAATAATATGGTTAATAAAGCCAGCCGCATCTGATTCATTCACTGCGCCGCCACATCCAGTCCCAGTTGCGCACCCACATCGCTTCACCCCCCCTCACCACCCCTCTTACCGAATCCCGGCCAGAATTCCGAATCCGGACTCCGGCTCGACGCCAATTATCGCACTTATTTCGCTGCTAATTAAAATGCAATTATTTGCTTTAAACAACATAATCCCATTGACAGGGACAGGCGTTTCGTTTTATTTGCATATCGGTAGGGACATTGAGGTAACTATTTGGGTTGTACATTTCTATAATGAATACGGACTTGCAATGTTAAAAAACGCTTGGGGGATATAATCATTAGTCCGATTAATTCCTGATGGATGTATGTTACCTAGCTTTACAATCAAGAGATATCTATACTTTTGTTACAGTATTTCCATGCAAAAAACTACTGTGGCAGACGGTGACTTATCGTATGAGTATATAACTTAAAGTTATATAGTAAAATATAAAAAATAATTCAATATACATAAAAAGAAAACAAATAGGAAAAAAAATATTTTAAGCTATTAGGTTACACTATTAATATAAAATTATTCCAACTAAATATAATTACATTTGGCGATCTAAAGACAGGTCTAGCAGACCGCGTATATAAGATTTAAGTTTAAACTATAAGCTAGTACTATATTAACAAATTGTATTGTTCGTTTCTGCTTCTTTGAAGTCAATATCAGTCAACATTTGTAAATTTAAATTGAAGTTATTCGTTTAGAATATATATTGTCACATATATATAACCTTTTATTTTTGATGGCCCCCTTTTAGTTAATTAATACCCGTAAAACTTTACTTATAAGCATCTATCATTATGATTGTAGAAATACTAAAATGAAAATATCCTATTGTTGGATTAATTATTTTCTGTAAACATTTGTCTTTATTTTAATTCCTGTATAAGTCCATTTTTGGTTGTCTTTTACATTTAATATTACCCAATCTTCATTCAATATTAAAGATTCTTCAATCAGGTATTTCCTTATTCCACGTCTAATTGGCTTTGTTGATAAAGAAAAATAGAATCATTTTCCCCGTGTGATCAGTCTTCCATGTCGGCGTCCGTGGAGCATTCTTCATCATCCTCCGCGGTGATGTGGATTGGGGGAGCCTTTAAGTTCCCGCGGTACGGATGCACCTGCATAGGCATTCGTTGCGTGGGACTCGTCCGTCCATGCAAGTGCGTGGTGACCGGGAGGGGTGCGAAAGGCACTGGTTCCACGTACTGGCCCCCATTGACGGCCACATTGCGTCCGGCGTCGTCCACGAAGTCGGTGATGATTTGCCACAGCGACAGGCGATCCGCCAGGCCACGGGCACGAGCCTGATGCACTGCAGCGGTGGCAATCAGTGTGAAGTTCAGGAGTCCGGCATTAAAAATATGCAGCCATGCATTAATCTGCTGCTGGCTGTCAGTCGAAACAATTGGGGGCACCGGAAAAGGCATGGGAAGGGGCACTGGCGTGGGAATGGAAATGCTGGCAGCTGCTGGATGCTGGAGGGAATCCAGGGGGCGTGCCACCGGATGGCCATTGAAGTTCCGCTTTTGTGGCAGCTTCAGGCACTTCAATTCCAGCGGAGGCGATGGAGAGGATGATTTCGAATTGACAGAAGAAGCCGATGACTTTGTGGTGATAGCAAGCTGCGGCTTGGCCAAGGCCATGGTCAGGATAGAGGGATAGCTGGCGGAACCTGTTCGGGAGTAATGATATAGGGGGAGATAGTTTGTGAGACCCCCATCCGATACTCACTCTGCTGACCAGCCGCCTCGCGGGCCATCCGCTGTTCGGCTCGTTTCACCCAACCGCGAACCGTGGACTCCGGAACACCCAGTTCACGGGATATGCCGGCCTTGGTCTCCCCACTGCGAATACGAGCGATGGCCCGCTCCTTGTCGTCCATTGAAACTTGCACCCGGGGGCGCTTGCCACGTGGCACACCAAATCTTTCCATGCTCGCAGAAGTCAAAAATCGCGAGTCCTAATCACGCGAAGAGGCGAGAAGAAAGGCAGTGAAGAACTTTCGACTGGTTTTCGGGTCTAGAGATTTACACAATTTCACTCGCGTTGCCCTATTCCAGATGTTCTGCTCAGCTCGACACGATTATTTTGACAGGATTTGAGAGGTCCGGGACTTTTGCGTTTGGGTCAGCTGACATTTAAATCGGCGATGAGGATGACATTTGCTCTTTCTTTTCTTCCCCCCTTTCTCTTTCTTCTGCGAGTGAATGCCTTTCGCACAGAGCTGCATTTCGTCGTTCTTTGGGGCTGCCAACTTGCGCGAGTGGCGTTAAGTCAACCGTCAATCAATCACAATGAACCGTTATTCGTTTTCTCATTTTATTTATTTCCGTACTTTTATTTATACATTTAATTCTGACGTACACTAAAATATGTGTCCTAATTTTCAAGTTTTTAATTTCTTTGTGGCTATGAACTTCCATTTATCTTTGTGGCATTCCTGTGTATACCTTTCTTTGGGGTTTTTACATACTTATTGTGGTTAGGGGTCAACTGTACCTTTAAGGTGCAGAAATTCAAGGAGCTTTTTAGTTTAAGTGAGGAGTTTGCTGTCAACAATATTTGCAGGGGAGTATGTAATAGTGGATCCACTTTGTTTGCCCACAATGCCGCACTAAATCTTATGCATCCATTTCTATATAGACTTAAAAACTAGAACCATTTGTTGGCTTCAATTTACAATTTCTCAGGGGATTATCGTTTTGGGTTTCCTCATTTTAAAATTCCTGCCACAATTTGTGGAATTTACGGGGGAAGTTCATTATTCAATTATGGTCTAGGTAAATCTATGTGCAAAAAATATACCCTATATATTGTATATCGTACATTATATACATATGCATGTATATATGTATGTATATACGCTTGGTTTTGGTTGACAATTTGCCAACAATAGTACAATGTATTCGTATTGTATTTTATCGATATAATAACTAATAAAAACCACCAACAATTGTTTATTATTATTATTCCTATTAATTTGAATTAAATCTTTATTTTCATTTTGGCTTTATTTTGGTTTTGTCATTTTACCTGTCTACCTTAATTAAAATCTAGTTTCTTTATGCCTTTTAAAGTATTCCGTTTTTTTTTCATTTCAACAATTATCACGTGACAATTTTTAATGTTTTAATTAATTTATTCAGGGCAGTTTAAATTTCTTTCCTTTGTGTGAGTGTGTTTTTTAAACATTTATATGTTTGAGGGTTTCTTTATAGTTTTTATCGTACAATTATTTTCAATTAATATTCATTAGATGTCACGTAGAGCGAAAGTTATAGACTCGACTGGGCAGAGCTAATTACATAGTTATTGGGGGTCCTATTCATTTCTCAATGCAGTAAAGAGTGAAAGTTGGGACAAACATAAGCTTTTGGCAGTGCACCCACATGTATTTTAAAGTTCTTTAAAGTTAAAAACCTCTGGAGGCTACTTAAAATGAGTTATAAATTAATACGAATTAAAAATCTAACCGTGTTGATGCTAAATTTCAAAAGAAAATTGCCATATTTTTGTCTCCAATATAAGGATTTATAACATAGGGCTGGGATTCTTAATTTTCAATAAGTAGATCAGTACAATAAAATAGTAACAAATTGATACTTAAAATGCATTAAGGAGGATAACGTTATTGTTTTAATCAGAACACGGATAACAATGAATATATCAATATTGTTTCAAATGAAATATAAAAGAGTTAGACAAAACTCTCCTTGGAGTAAAAAATGTTGCAAAAAGAAACCATTCTGGAATGGTCCCTTAGTGATTCTTAGTAATCCTCCTGCAGGTGATGCCTTCCCTGCTGCTTGGAGGAACTCCTGCACATCCGCCTTAGAATCGCGAATAGCAGGGCGAACATGAGGCACAGTCCCAGGGTAATCAAGGCCAACTTCCCATATGGCAGCTCGCTGAGATCGTGTCTCAGGCAGATCTCGGGTGACTCGTCGTGCAGCACCAACTGCTGGTACTCCCCAGCATGATGGAGTAGTCCCAGTTGCTCCAGATTCCACTCGATATGTCGCGTAAGTTGCGACAACGTCGAAGTGTGCGTCACATTTGGACAATTGGCTATTCCGTTGCAGATCAAGTGCTTTGGAATGCAGACATCAGTGTTTCCAGGACATCGGAAATCGCAGCCACCATCCTGGAGGAGGGAGGCAGCCAGACTGCCGTCGGGATTGCGGGGCAGGTGGAAGAGTTCCGTCCAGACCAGTCGGAAGAGGTTTCGTCCCGGTTGGCCATCTCCCGTATATTGGATGAGCACCGGCAGAGGTTCCTGATCGGCTCCCGTGGCCCCCAGTTCCGCTGTGGTCAGTATGGGCAAGTCCCTGGCTAGGGATATATTCTCCGGGCAGACCACGAAACGGGGCTCCAGTCGTCCTGCTAAATAGACCTCGATCTTGGCACTTTCGCAGCTGCGATCCGCAAAGCGAGCTTTCTCCAGATTAAGCCACAAATCCCGCTGGGCCGCCACTTTCAGCTCCCAGATGCACTTCTCCCGGCGGTAATGATGCTCTGGCGGAGCCATGGGTCCCGATACCATGGCCAAAGCTTTCTTGTACGGGAATACCAGTTCGCCATCCGGCGAAGGTCCCAGGGTAATGGGTCCACACAACGGACCGTGGGCAAACTCATACGTAGCCTCGAACAGGGGATTCGGGTTCTTGAAGTACGAGGTAATGGCATGCTGGCCCTGCACAATCATCTCCAGATTCATCTGGTCCGCCGACGAGATAACCCTCACCGCCCTCGGGATATTGTCGCAGAAACAGGCCAGGTTGTTCTGGTACTTGTCCCGCTCCTCCCAGATCACCAACTTATCCACTCGCTCCTCGTGACAGCGAGTGCAGGCATTACTGTTGTAGGGCAGTTCCTTAAAGGACACCGAATTCACCTCGATTATGGCCCTGGCATACAACCTTCGATCGGTCACAAATTTATACTGGCAGCGGACATCACTGCCTCCGGTTCGCTTGAAAATCAGGGAATTCAAGGGCGATCGAAGACGACCACCCGGATGTTTCCAAGCATACATCACCTCGTCACATAAGGTATTTGGAACTGGATCCCCGAAGCGGGTGTTGTTGAAAAAATCGTAGTGCGCCCAGTAGTACAGTGAGCTGCCACTATAACTGCCTGTCTTCGAGTCAAACTGAACGTACAGTGAGGGGCTGGTGCTCACAAAGTCCACTTTCTCCATTGGTCGAGAGAAGGTATCGCAGAAGGTCTTGATGATCCGCGCGGGATCGGCGTGATCTGAATCGTAGATCGTCAGGGATTCCCCGCAGTCGCCTTCGTACTTTAAAATCGGAGATTCAATGCGATTGATGCGGAAACTGGAAATAAATTAAATGAAAAATCATGTTTTATTAATTAAACTATATTTATAGCTAATTACAAATTTCGAAATAACTTTTAAAGTAAAAGTCTAAAAGTATACAGTGAAAAATAGATGGTCTTTCGGAATTTTTGCTGCATACTTTAAGAAACTTATATAATTAATTCAAAAGCCTTGCGATTACTGTGGATTAGGTATAACACTTATTGTTGATGTGTAGTTGGAAATTTATACACACATATAAATCTTGATCTTCAGTATATTATTATACCCGTTACTCGTAGAGTAAAAGGGTATATTGTATTCGTGCAAAAGTATGTAACAGGTAGAAGGAAGCGTTTCCGACCCTATAAAGTATATATATTCTTGTTCAGGATCACTAGCCGAGTCGATCAAGCCATGGCCGTCTGTCCCTCTGTCCGTCTGTCTGTCTGTCTGTCTGTCCGTATGAACGCTGAGATCTCGGAAACTATAAAAGCTAGAAGATTGGCATTTTGCATGTAGATTTTAGGAGTTCCTACGCAGCGCAAGTTTGTTTCAAAATGGTGCCACGCTGTGGCTACAGTTTTGATGCTATTATGAAAGTTTTAATTTATATGTATTTCTTTCGTCAATACCTATCAATTGGTCAAATAAAAGTTTGGCACGCCCACTCTAACGCCCAAAAACTCAATAAACGCTTAAGCCTGGCTAGCGCCTACATTTCCGCCTTTCATGGCCCGTGGTACCAATGTCTTGGGGTAGATGGCGCAATACAATAGCGCCATCTGACGGATGACTTTGGAACAGCTGGCCAAGGTGCTCAACAGAGTCAACGTTAATTCTCGATAATGATTTCTATTAAAGGAAATTGCGATGGTTTTCATTTGTCAATACCGAACTATATCCCAAGAACTAGCAAATCAAATCAAGTTAGCCAAATTGGAGTTCTGAGTCAAACAATGGCGTATGTGTGTATGTATGTAAGCATATACATATGTATGTATTTACATTGTACCCAGTTGCAATTGCATATTTATATTAAGTTGTTTAGCTGAGTAACGGGTATCTAATAGTCGAGGCACTCGACTATAGCGTTCTCTCTTGTTTTTATATTGTAAACTAAATTTTTTATTAGTGGTTGATTTAAAAGAAACAGGTTCTGCATTTTAAGCAAATATATATTACCCATTAAAATCAAATTATGAAAACAATTGAAACCTGCGCTTTGTTTTCAAATAAAATGGGACACAGTTTTTCTATATACCTTTTTGCGTTACAGTGTCAACCATAATCATAAGCCGCGTCTGGTAAACACCTCACTCGGCTGCTGGCTCTTTGCCAGTCCGCAATTCTGGCCTCTTCGTTACGTCCCACAATTTAATATAAATTCCACCTGCCAACAGGTAAATCTAGCCCTCTCCCTCTCTTTCTCACTGCCCTTTCCCTCTCTATCGCACACACGTAGTCCCGTTACGGGTTTTTGGGGTCGCGATGTGAGTTGCATTTTGCCCCCACCAAATTGCATTCCAAAACTATTTGTGGCAGGCTGGCGAAAACGATGGGCGAGCGCCAAGGATATTTGAAAGGAGTTGATGTGGAAGGCCAATTTTCTGCAGTTTTCCTGCATTACGTTGGTAGTTGATGTGACTGCACAGTCTTCTGGGTCGAAATTCAAGTGGGGTCAACGGAAATTAAATGATCAAGACAACAAAAAGGTAAAGACCATTCTAAACAATAAGTTTTAAATGAAAAAGTTACTATATTGAAGTCTTCAGTTATTATAAAACCAACAAAATAGCCCTAATTTAACCTTGAAAATGTTTATTTTTCCATGTTAAAAAATTTGAGCACACATCACAAAATGACATTCACCGTTCTCAGTTACTTAGCCCACAAAATCCGCAAATGGTTATGTAACTCGACTCCTGTTCAGGTTTTCATGCATATCCCCTTTATATAACTGCCATTCAGAGTGCGGTGAATACATTCTATGCAATTACATTTGGCTCTATCCGAAAATATGACATAATACAACATTTTATTAACTCACACAAAGTTGGCCAAAAAGGGAAAAGGGCGCGGTGTTGCGGTGGGCCGAGAAAAATCACCATCATCAGCAGTTTGAAGGGGGCGAGGGGGGCGAGGGGGGCGAGGAGGGCGAGGGGGGGTGAAGGGCGCGACAGCCACGCCCCCTAATCTACGTTGCTGGCAGGCAGCAGTGTGGCACAAATTTCATTTGGTTTCGCTCTTGTTTTTTATGCCCGTGAGTCTGCCCCTCGCTATTCATAATGGAGCAGAGTTACTATTTTTTGCCCAACTATATACCCCTCTCCACACTTTTCGACGTGCCCATACTGTTATTCACGTACGCGTCGTCGAAAAGTAAGCCCCGACACCCTGCGGCATGTCCTCGTAATCCGTTTGCAGCCTAGCCCAATTCCAGTTTGTACACTGTGAGAAAATCTTTTATTTTAACGTGGCGTAAATCACACTGAGTTATAAAATTGAACCCATACTGTTAAATAGAATAGAAAGTGATCGAAAAGGTTTCGGTGCGCAGATCCCGTACCTGGACACAAACACTTGCCACATCATCAGTGAAAAGTTAAATCTAATAAAGCTCCACATCTAAATCTAAAGTCCGTTTCTAAATTAATAAGTATCAGAGGCCGTATATAAATGTCTAGTGATTACAAATTAGCGTTAAAACGAAATTAGAAAAAAAATTCTTAAATATAAATAGGTCCTAATAAGCAAAAGTTTTTGCTTTAAATTTAATCTATAAACAATCATGAAAACTTAAAAGCACAATAATATTCGATTTGATAAATATAAGTTAGTTAGTAATATAATATTACTTAAAATGTTTCTTGCAATGATCCCAAAATATTAAGTGTTATTTTTTGATAGTGTAACTTCGAATTCCGAGCTCCTAGTCCGAGTTTCCCGTTATGCTGACTCAGAGGGTGGCTTATCCGGGGGGTGGCGGTGGTAGCGGGGGTCGCGGGGGATTGTTGTGAACTGGTTAGCCTGGTTATGTGCATATGGGAGTCGATTGGTGCCGTGGCCATAAGCCCAGAGCGTCAGTTTATGTGGCCATAAGGCTTATAAATAGCCCAAGTATGCGACATGTCTTGTGCATTTCAAGCGGATTTTTGTTAAGTTTTTTTTGTGGGCCAATAGACCTGTGAAACATCTAAATGGTAGTAGGATAAAAAAAGGTACTAGATAGCTGCAATTGATTTTATTCTGGATATTTGGGAGATTGCCCGATGGGTGGAAAAAACTATAGCAGTGAAGTCGATTTTATTAGTCATTTGTGGGTAGTAAAAGGGCAAAGTAGTCAAAAAAAGTGGAATACAGAGAAATAATAGTAAGGAGTAAATAGGTAATGACGTTGTATGTTTTCAGTAGAAAGCTGGTTACTAAAAATATCTCGGATATATTTCTTAAAGATAAACAAGAGAGAACGCTATAGTCGGGTGCCCCGACTATCAGATACCCGTTACTCAGCTAAAGGGAGTGCGAGGGAGATGGAGATAGAAACTTTGATCACGCATAACTTTTTAACGAATGGTCCGATTTGAAAATTGTTTTCTACATTTCGATAGGTATTGATAAACACAATAAAACTGCATTTTTACTTTTCCGAAATTATTAAATTTTTAAAATCGTATATAAGCGATTGTGGGCGTTAAAGGGGGCGTGGCACCATTTTGAAACAAACTTGCGCTGCGTAGGAACTTCTAAAATCTACATGCAAAATGCCAATCTTCTAGCTTTTATAGTTTCCGAGATCTCAGCGTTCATACGGACAGACAGACAGACAGACAGACAGACAGACAGACAGACAGACAGACAGACAGACAGACGGACAGACAGACGGACAGACGGACATGGCTAGATCGACTCGGCTAGTGATCCTGATCAAGAATATATATACTTTATAGGGTCGGAAACGCTTCCTTCTAGCTGTTACATACTTTTGCACGAATACAATATACCCTTTTACTCTACGAGTAACGGGTATAAAAATGGTTGAAAACTTGCTTCTTTTAGTCGTAAAAGTACAACGAAATGTTGCAGGAAATCTCAAATGATAGTGGACATTAATACACAATAGTAACACAATCTATCGGATAATGGCACAACTAAAGCAGACGCTGATGAGTTGTTAGTAGCTAGTAAAACTAGTGAAACACGGGCAACTCCCCTCGACCATTCACAACATTATTGGGAAAAGTGTGTGCTCTGCACAAGCAAATGGATTGCTTATCCACCACCGCCCCCCTCTGAAGAGGAAAACTTAAGTGCAATATACTCAAGGAGTAGTTCAACATCTGGTCAGCTCACTTGGAAAAAATCGTAGTAGATAGGTAGTAGACAAAGAGGGAGCAAACAAAAAACGACGAGGGCCGGAGGAGCCGAAAGCAAAGCCATGACATGTTACTTAAATGAGCAACTTTGTTGGAAACAATGTCGACAGCGTCTAGACTCGGGACTCGACTCGACTCGACTCCTGCGACAGGCAGCAGGACAACAGCTCCTGCCCACTCCGGTGGGGAAGGGGGAGGGGGTGGCGAAATGGGAAGGTGTACGAGGTAAATGTAAACTGACAGCTACGCAGAAGACTGCGAGAAAAACCCACCTAATGGGCTGTCTTTTCGGGCGTACCCTGGCAGGGGATATTATAATTTGTTCGAAAGTATATACATTATTGATGAACTTCAGCGGAGTGGCTGTCTAAGAACAAAAGGATATCAGGAAATGGGTAAAAGAATATCAGGAAATGGGCAATATGCGGAAAAATATATATTGACGATTCACTATTTTCCTTTTATAAATTAATTTTGATATATTTTCTTTTATTAATTAAGATGCAATGCCTTCATTTTAAAAGTACCCCTAAAAATAATAATTTTCCAAATTTAGGTTATATAAGATTGACAAGCTGATATCTTTAAGTTAGCTTTATAAGGAACACGTTTCATAAGCATTATAATTTAATATAACATATTATTCAAGTATGATGGGTATCATAGATTCAAGGTTTCTGAAAGGGTATTCTCAGCTTCGATCTTTATAGTTCTTTATAGTCCTGCTTTCGTTTTGCCTCTGTATTTGTTGCTTTGCAGGCTGCAACTTGAGTGAAGTTGGCAGAAACAACAAACGCAGGAACAACCCAAAATAACCACAACAACAATGGCAATAGCAATAACAACAACCACAAGGACTAAAACTTGGCCAGAAAAGCAGGAAAAATGTTGTGGGCGTGTGCCGAACGCAGTTTCCCATTGCATTTTTCGTGTACTTTGAACTTTTCCCCAAAAAAAGAAACAAAACCCACGTACCTCTGGCCATCTCTTTCGCCCAGCTTATCGTCTCTCTTTCGATTGCTTACCCTGTTCGGTTGCATTTTGTGCACTGTAATCACGCAATCATGTTGCCCACTTCTGAACTCTTAATGGCAATCGGTGTAAACGTGCGCACAACTTTTCCAGCACCCATCCCACCCACTTTTCCTTCTGCCCTGTTATCCACCAACAATGGGTTTGCGATGCTTACTAGAACTTCTCCGGGTCCTGCTCGTTCTGTAGGTTCTGTAGGTGGACATAAATATTTATCTTTTGGCAAAAACTTGCTTGATATTTTAAACCCCCGTTCTCCGCACCTCACGCCCGATCTTTTCATCTTCCCCATGTGCTGTTGTGATGTTTGCCCTGTACACATAGTTTTCTTTGGCCGTTCCCAGCAAAAACTTGGCAATGTTCTGTAACAATTTCTGCATAAATTACAGAGCTGCAACATCAAGCGGTTGTTTGGGTTCTTCAGGCGGAGGAGATGCTCCAGAATCATTGCAATTGCAGCTGGATTATTCGAAGCGAACTTGTGCAAATGGCAGACTTGAGATTACAGAAAGAAAAGGGCATAACAGGATGTGATTTGAAAAAGAGAATTACACGGCATTGCGATAAAAAAGACAGTTAAATGTTAATCCTCACAAGCAAACGAAGATCAGTTTATGGGATGTTAGACAATATAGCATCTTTTAAATGAATGTTTCTTTAAAATAAAGAACAGACGAACGTGGAACTCCCTGTGTTTAACATTTCTTCTAAATAGTTTTTAAAGAAGAAGACAGTTTTAATTAAAATTTTTTTTCTTGCAAATATTTTAAAGGAGTATTCTTAAAAAAGAACATAATTTATTTTCCCTAAATTCTAAATTCTAATTCAAGTAGCTTTTAAAGCATTTTAAAAGATTACATTAAATCATTTACCAGGAACTTAAGTCCCTTAATTATGTCTGCATCATCCATTTTACAAATTCAGTTTTAAAACCTTCAACTTTATCCTGTTTTGCTCGCAACCATTGATGGGTTTTAAAAGTGTCGGTGAGCTGGAAAACTTCGCCATAGTCTTTACCACTCGTTGCGACATGCAAAGCCAAAAACCGCAGCACAATAAAATATTTCACAGCGCATGGGGGAAATGCTGCGGAAAATACTCAAAATGAAATGCACAATCAATGCGACACTTGGCCAAAAAGTTCAGACACTTCTCCAGCATTCCAGACACAAACAATGCCGACAACAGCGACAAAGTAAAAATATATATGTATATTTGGATTTATGTAAGGGGTATGCACACAAAGAACAACTCCAACTCGACACGTTAAATTAAAATGTCACATAAATCTTTGCGGAAAATTTCATTAAAATACGCTTACAGCATAGAACGCAATGAGGAAAGCCCGAGGATTGTCCCAGGAAAAGAAGGGATGAAGTCCAAAGGAGCAAGTGCAAACCGCCCACATAGCCGCAAAACTTTGCACTTGTAGTGAAAAGGCCGTCCATCGGATTTTGGACTGTGGAGAGGGATCAACTTGGATAGTCCTTGTCGGGATAACTGGTTCAAAAATGGAAATTTTAATGGAAAAACTTGCAAATGCAAAATGGCAAGTGGTGACCCCGATCTTGAGTCGAGGTGGGGAATGTTTTCGCAGACAGGATAATTTAAAAAGGAACTTGAAACTTATTTGATTTTTGATTAAAAGTAAAACTTTATTTAAAACTTTATTTTGCAGTGGTGACCACGATCTGGACACTTAGAATCAAAAATGTCTGTCTACGAGAAAATGAAAGTTTTAAATGTATAAATCAAATATGTTGTTTGGTACCAGCACAAAGGCTAGTTAAGAAAGCTACGGAAACATATTACATTACATAGATTATGGGAAATCGTGTATACGAGTAAGTTTCAAGAGTTGAAATCAAAATAAACTTTAAACAAGAAAGGAAAGCTAACTTCGGGCGAAGCCGAAGTTGATATACCCTTGCAGAATACTCTGTAAATTATATTCTCCAAAATTATTCATATGATGCATTCTTAATACTCATAAAAAATCACAACTTTCTTACTTTAAAAACACCAAAGTTATGGCATTTCCAATCGTTCAGTTATATGGCAGCTATAGGATATAGTCGGCCGATCCTTATGAAATTTGGTAGGTCGGATTGATTGGCCAAATATAAAACCCATAGGAAGTCCCAGCTTCCTAACTTTACAAACACCAAAGTTATGGCATTTCCTATCAATCAGTTATATGGCAGCTATAGGATATAGTCGGCCGATCCCGTCCGTTCCGACTTATATACTGCGTGCAAAGGAAATAAGGGTGTGTGCAAAGTTTCAGTTCGATAGCTTTAAAACTGAGAGACTAGTTTGCGTAGAAACAGACAGACGGACAGACAGACGGACAGACAGACGGACAGACAGACGGACAGACAGACGGACAGACGGACATGGCTATATCAACTCAGGAGGTGATCCTGATCAAGAATATATATACTTTATAGGGTCGGAGATGTCTCCTTCACTGCGTTGCACACTTTTGACCAAAATTATAATACCCTCTGCAAGGGTATAAAAATCATGCATTTGTAATGGACGCAAAATATCTTGAATAATCTTTACAAGTACGCAATAATCACGATTTCAAATGATTCTTTTTGATTTTTATTATAATTATTTTATGAGCGATACTATTTCACTCAAAAATACTATTATTATTTTATATTATATTATTATTATTGATTACATCCTATACTTTTTTTTACCAATTTTATCTTTCTATTTTACTAAAAGTGTTTGCGTGAGTCCATAATAAAAGTATCAGGATCATGGTAAGAAGTTAGATCTTAAATTGTATTTAAAAATATAGATTAACAACAACAATTATAACTTTTTTTTTAAGACTTAAGTCTGTCTTAAGAATAAAAACAAAATGTTTAGTTTCCTGTTTTGCTAAAAGTGAAATCAAATTAAAGAGATAGATTTCAAATTGGAATTAAAAATATACTTTTACACTGGCTATAAGCCACTTTCCACAAACGTTATATTGAGTTTTTTTTACTAATTTTTTTAACGAAACCATAATTTTTTCATAGATCTTGGTTTCACTTCAGAATTAGAGCCCATCGCAGCGAAGACAGGGATTTTCTGCCACTGCTAGTACGGCACACATTCGACGTCAATGAAATGCATGGAATTCGTAATGCCTACCTGGGGAAATAAAGGCGCACAATTTCGCCGACATGTCCTTTGATGTGGTAGCTGCAGGACGTATTCGGCGGATACCAGTGGGCGATGCTGAGGAAGATGCCCTCGCTGGCGCTACTGTCCTTCAGCGAGTCGGAGCTCAGTAGCCAGTCGCAGACGCCGTGCTTGATCCCAGCCGTCTCCACATGTCCTGGCCAGTTGCCAACGTTGAAATGGAAGCCCGTATTGAGCAGCGGACCCGCCGGCGACGTCACAAACTCCACATACATGTATTGCGAGGTGCCTGGCGGATATGCAAATGGTTAAGATGGACTGGGTGGGCCTCTATGGTCTATGGACTGCAGTACTCACCAATAATGCTAAATGGAAACTTGCCCAGGCCGCAGAACTTCCCTATCAGCGGGGAGTGCTCATCGCGGCCATCGTAGACCGCCAGCCAATCGAAGGGGCAGTGCTCATTACCAGATCCAATCGGCCTGATCGGGCAGGTCATCACGTTCTCACATCTGCAATGCGAACAACATTAATGGCGCCAGTCACTTTGATTACTGCCTTCTTTGTTACATTTATGGAAGCGTTGAAAGGGGAAATTTAATTTATCCGTCGCCGACGGTTCAATAAAAAAACATGGTGAAAAACTGAACAATTAAAAAACTCACGTTCCACAAATACGAAGAAAATAAAAGGCAAAAACCAACAGGAATAAAGAGTAAGGCTGGCAATTGAATAACTGACTGAGTGCTGATGCTTTTAGTGCCTGGCGGAAATCCGTGAAAAAATGTTGGTGAAACAGGGGCGGGGTAAAAAAAGGGGGATATCAGTGAAAAAATCTGTGGCGTTAACTGATTTTTATGGGCGAATATATCCAAACGTTTTATTTTTATAGTTTAAAAACATGTTTATAACATTATCTGCTGAATAAATGTCTCAAAATGATTGATATTAATTAATTAAAAAAGATATATAAATCACGGCACTTTTTTTAATTAAATATATCATTTAAATATTCAAATATTATTTTACGTGTCATCAATCTGTTATTCAATTGTCTACTGAATGTGCGTTTTATTTTTTTCCTTTTCAAAACTCTGCTTGAAACTTAAACAAAAGGTAAGCATTTCGTAGCTTACTTAGAGGGATTAGTTGACTTCCCATTCTGTCTAAATGCCTTTTAAATGGACTTGAATAAACTTGAGCCCCCGACGCCCATGGTCTTGACATTCATTTGCACTTTGCCAGCCCGAGGAAACTGGGCAAAAAAAAACAAAGTTCACACAGAAAATGTAGAAAAAAGGCAACGGAAAATCTAAAGCGTCTGTTTTGAAGCCTTTTCTAATTTCTTGCGTCAGACGGCGAGTCGAGGATGCTTTTAATTTTTTGCTGGCCGTCTGGCCGAATGGTCCATAACCTCGACTCCGGGGTTTGGGGCACCGGGCCCAGACAAAGTGACCTTTGTGCCCGGCCATTGATGATGGCCACGATGACGGGGATGTCCGTGGGATTCCATCGAGGCGCTGGTCGTCCCATTCGATTCAAAATTTTACTTCCCTCTGGCGGAGCAGACTGATTGGTGGCCAGTTCAAAAGGCAAATGAAATGCCTCTCACCTGGCTCGCTATGTGTGTGTGTGTGTGTGAACTTTCTAATTGAAAGCCAACTTTGGCAATTACCAGCTGAACTTTAATCAAATAGAGACCGAGCCAGTGAGTCAAAGCCAAAGGCAGTTGAATGTGATTTGGCAAGTGAAACAAAAATAGCAATTTAATTGACAGTTCCATCGAGATCGAGCCTTTCTGCTTTCCCCTGCATTCCTTTCCCTTTTTGTTTTTTTTGACCATTCGCTAGAAAGTTGGGAAACAAACTTTTGACCAACTTCTGTATCTATATCCATCTATACGGAGCAGATAGATAGATTTCTATTAGCTAGTCGGTTCGTTTCAGTCAATTTAATCACTTTGTCAGCAAGTTTTTCTTCGAGTCTGCAAAGAGCTAATCCAACTTATTGATAATAAATGCGTTGTTGGCCAGAAAGTTGATTACAAAGAAGGGGACAGAGAAAATGACTGTTTAGTCTGGGTGGTAAAACTTTTTTTTTCCCCCTCCGCAAACACAGCACACATATCAAAAAAGAGGAAAGAAAGGCGGAGCGAAAAAAACATCAACTGACTGGTAATAATTTTGGCATATTAAAAAACTTTTTTACTCGATGACTTTTGCATTTGTTTGGCATCCGGCCGTCGAAGTTTTGCCGACTGAATTTTTCTGCTGTGATGGCAGAAATATTTTTGGTATAGCGCAAAGAAATTAGGAATGTTGTTGTGGGTTGTATTTTTTGACAGCCAAAGGAGCTGTGCAATAAACTGAAGTGATTTATAAAATAGCGGCAGCACGAGAGGGAACTTTCTGCTGACTTGGCATCCAATTTGGATCTGTAAATGGAACTGCCGAACAGGTCGTGTTTTATGAACTGGATTTATGGCAGGTTTATACCAGGCTTAGGCGGATTATGTTGATTGTTTAGATGTAGTGAGGTGTATGCCTGCTGAATTCCAATATTTGATAATGGATATTGAAACTGTATATTTTTAACTTCTAGATCTGGGTAAGATATTTATTATCATCTATATTTGATACTAAAATTGATGAAAAACATGAAACAATGTGATATATTTTCTTAGCTTATAAAGTTTCTTAAGAAATTAGGTTTTTGTCTATTTAGTCCCAAGTAAACACCATTTAAAAAAAATATGCATCAGCAGAAAATACACTTACTCTTTTAAGGAAAAGTATTTGGAGTGCAAACTTGCCTCCATGATTAGGTCCTTGGCAAAGGTATGTTTGTCTAATCCCTTCCTGCAGCCCAAAAGTAACTTAGACTTGCAAATTAATACACACTTTAGGGGGATTGTACCCCGGGTTTTCTCCACTTTTCACCCCCTTCTCTTTACTCAGTTGCGAACCTAACTCAAAGTTGGCAACTTTGACATGCGGCTGTCGTCTTCGCCTTCTAGTGTCCCTGCCATTGGACTTTTCAAAAGGTAAATATTCAAATTGAATCTATAAAAATAAATTGAATGTTGCTTATCTAATTCCGACTTGCTGTTGCCTGATGTGCACGTGCTGGGCTGGAGACTCGGAATCGACGGTCCAGGGGAAATGTGCTGACTCCAGAATTTGCACATCAAACAAGCTTAAAGATACTCGACCACTTCTGCCGGCCATTTGGTGCTGGGAATGTGCAAAGTGTTAAAAGCTGAAGGTTTTTCCCACCCAACCATAAAATCCCCATCGGGACGAGGTCGAGTAAGGAGCTTTGACCCTCCCTCATTACCCCGAGCTCATGATAAAGCAAATATTTTGTGAAAGGTCATTTCGGTTAAGCAAATGTAAATTGTATTTGTCGCGGCAAGGCAGCAGTGGGTATTTATGCCCACTTGGAAAAAGGCCTGGGTGGTCATTATATATTAAAGTTCTGATTTAAGCCAAAAAGGTTTGCAGGTGGGCCTGCAAATGAGTTTGCTTAAATGGCCAAAGGAGAATTCTCGAGTCGTTACATTGCGTTCGAAGTTGGATGTTTCTGCAGTATATAAGTTTTCAAAGAACAGTTCTGTAGGAAAACTACTAAAGACAAACCATTTCTCAACATCCGGTAAGAGTTTTATTTAAAAAAAAAACAAGATAAACGTTAATCTATTTTTATAATTTACGAAAGCATAAATCCTGAAACAAAATTAAACCTTCAGAAACGACAGGAAGTTAAAGAAATCAATTTAAAAAAATATTATTAATTCGAGATAAGTTTTTATTTTTATTTTTTTGGGGAGTTTTCAATCATAAGGGTTTTAAAGTGATTTTGTTATTCTTGGATGTAACTTTTGATGTTCAATTTTGCCAATATATAGTAGTATTGATTAAATTCATCACTTTTATTAGATATAAGTACTGTTTTTGCCTTTAAGGTATATTCCTAATATTCTTTTTTTTCCTTTTCACCAAATACCACTCTAGAGTCCAACAAAGAATCTAAAAATTTAAGCAGTCGTGAGATAGATGCACTCGAGTTGAAATCGCTCCTCCTGCCATACAATTTCATCATTTTGGCATTAATAATACAAGACAGCCATGACTGCAAGCATTTTCTCCTCCCTTTTTCATCACAATCGAGGGCAACCTCACTCAAAACGTAATCCTTTAGCCAATTTTCGCAGAGCAGGTTCTGATTCTGAATCGGATTCAGAGAGTGACGCATACAGATACGGCGAATGGAAGCCGAGGACATGTCGCCAACGTTTTCCAGCAAATTGGTGCCAATTTTTGCGACGAACGCTCTGTCAAATTGTCATTGTCAGCATGCCAAATGCATTACAACAATACGACCGGTGGCAACAACAAAGTTTTTGGGCCAAATGTCGTTGAATTGTGTGGATTGTGCAATCGCCGTGCCAAAATGACAAATTACAGGGTGTTGCATTTAACACTAATTTCTTGCACAAAAAAACAGCGAGAATAAATTGAGGTGAAATAAATTTGCATAAATAAAATAGACTTTTTAAACTTTAGCTGATTGCTTTATAATTTTCAGTAATAGCCGTGTTTTGATGGAAAGGCAAAAAGCTTGGACACAATTTAAATTATACCTTTGTCATTCAGGTTGTTTTTTCATGATTCTATTTCAATCAATCTAATGCTAAACTGATTGTAACATTTTAGGCTTTAAACTAAATTAGCATAAACACAAAATCATATCATAATTATAAGCGATAAAAAACGATTATTGAATTAGCATTGGCGCTTATATGTGTTACATTGAGTGTATTTAGTAACCAAATTACCTTTGTCCATCCACAGCAAACTGTTCATTCTGCAGATACAATTTAATGTACGGCTGGCGGGTGTGCAACTTATAGCGACAATTCAGGGCCCGAGGATAAAGGCCAGGATACGCCGGGGATTGAACATAGCAGGTCTGCAGGCGACAATCCCGATACTCCCGTTCGCAATAGGATCTGATGGCGAAAGATATATATATTGATGAAATCATTGAATTACAGGCATGGAAATATTTAATTTAATTTGTTTCAAATTGGTTATAACACTCAGACCCCGACAAATGTTTACCCCAGCAGGCATCCTAAATGATCCATAGAACTTTTCGGGTTCGTCTGCCCAGAGTCCTTTAACTGCGTCAAGGAAGCCAGAAAATTGTGTTCACTGATTTGGAAATTCCCGCTCCACTCCACGCTTCCCATTTCTCTCCTTCAAGTGTGCGTTTTTTTTCGAGCTTGTAAAATTGTTGTTAAATTACAACAAAAGATTGTGTAAAATGTTCATTCCTTCTGGGCTTGGTGCGTATAATTTTCAATTTGTTTAAGTAAAACAAACGGAAAATCATTCAAAGGCGAGGCTAGCATAAATATGATTACCATTTTTATTCCTTTTTCCTCCCAATCCCGTCCTTTTTTTCCCTATCCCTCGACTCTTTGTCTTTGGCAATTTGCTTTGGTTTGGTTTGGTTCCTCAATTGCGTTTGCGTTTTGGCTTTGGTGTCGATGCGCGCGTGACCGCAAAATTAGCATAAAAATCATATTGGCCATGTGGGTGATAGGAAGCGGGAATTCCACCAAACCCAAAGTGGGAGGTCCCAGTGGTCGTATTTGATAGGATCTTAAAGAGCTGGCTCCTGATGCCATTAAAAGTAGAAAAACATTGGCGATTGAATTGGTTTAAATGCGAGTAAGAGCCCTACAAAAATAAGGCAATTCAATAAACTCTAGTGGTAATTTACATTTTTGAGACGCATTTAAAAAGATTTTAACAACTACCATTCAACCCTCGATAAATATTTTGTTAATTTTCAAGAGTTGGTTGCTTGTCATTCCATTAAATTATTTTCAAGTTTCATTTTTTGAGTGCAATCAGCAATTTAACAGATTTAAATAAAGACTTTATTTTTTTGAATATAGCTACATTCTGTAAAGAAAATGTGTAACCTCATATAACCTTTTAGAAAAGAAATAATTATAAAATAATTCAAAAACAGTTTTAACTATTTTATTGCTCGCTGAGTTTCGTTCACTTCTCAAGTATTATCTGCCGCTGCAATTTATTTGAGCAAAAAGCCTACTTGGAAACTTTATATTCGCAGACTTTTTCTTTCCCAACCATCTGTATGCATATCCACAAATATCATCCGAGTAAATCTAGCATATTCCGCCCCGCTTCGTTACTTGCAGCCAAATCTTTGCTTAAAACTTGCAACTTATTTTATTAAGATAAAAGTTAGACTGACAGAGCCAAAGAAAAAACGCAAACTCCAAAAAGAGAATCAAATAAAATTTAATGTCTGCAAAGTTTTATTTTTGTCAGGGTTTCTGGTGGGAGGTGCCCAACGAAATGAATTCTTCTCTTCGGTTTCAATTGCCGACTTTTTCAGCCATCCTTCAGGCGTACATTCCCCTCGCTTCCCCTCTCGCGAATTTTATGTTTGCCGCAGTGCAGAAAGCACAAGTAATTCAATTTAATGCGACCTTCTGTTGCCGGATTTTCTCCGCTGTTTTCTGACTCGTATATGATTATGAAATGTGCCAGCGAATCGAAGACAAGGACCGCGTCTGAAGTGGCCCGTCAAAAATATGCCCCCTTAGCTCAATATTTCTGTAATAAAATTGAATTAACGCTCGGGTTATAAAAGAACGAAATCCCAAAAGCCCCCAAAAGCAACAAAAAAAAAAACCTCTTTGGAAACCCATTCGATTACCCGTTTTCGGTAAGCCATTTACTCACCCTTGGACAACTTCGCCGCGACGATTTGGATATAATTCCGGATGTTGGCCATATCGCAGATAGACTTCGGTTTGTTGTTCGGCGCGTGAATCGAATGTGAAGTAGGTCTGCAACGGGTAGATAGAGAAAAGTGCGGGATGAGTGGACAATGGCAGAAAATCACGTATACGCAGTGTGAACCCCTTTGCCTCGTACCGCCCGCCATTGTTGCTGATGAATTTTGTCAATTTCCCCCCTGCTCGGCTCGACGTCAGACAATTGCGTGTTTCGTTCTGGCCCCTGCCCCTGCCCCTGCCCCGCCCCCTTTTCCATCCGCCTTTCATTCCATGGCCTGCCACATGGAAATGTGCAATGTCATTTGCCCTACCAGCCACAAACGCCCACACAAGACTGTGAGTTTTCCCTGAGCCTCTGCCATCCTGTTTGCCTGTTGTTCCCTTGCAACGGTTGCCTCATCAGCGCTAATGACGTGCTGCAGTGACGTAGGCAGCAGCCACGCCCCCTTCACCTCAGACCGCATCCGTACGCCCAGCTGCAAATGGCAAAAAGAAATGAAGGTAGAACGGGAAAAAAATATAGGGGTTACAAAAGGCTAACGAACCAAGATGCCTGAAAAGTATACATTTCAATATAGTAATGCTTTAAAATAATTCAAGGTGGCTATTTTATGAAGGGCTTTACTTTAATTAATTAACTTAAATTCTTGTTATTATCTACTACATTTTATTATTGTTAATTATCTTCTACATTTATATAATAGTGTAAGACTTTTGCTAACAATTCTTAAAATTTATTTTTCTTAATTACCAATTTTGGACTGAAATTGATGACAAAATGAAATGAGCAATGTATTAACAACGTCAAAATTTCACGATTTCCAACTAGTGTTTATTTCACTCAATAACATTTCAAACTGTCAAATGCAATTTGTTCTGCATTATTTACCAATCGAATAGGCCTAACAAAAGCAATGATTATTGCCAATTTGTGAGCTTTGATTCGATTTGCCTGCTTATCGAATTCATGCTGCGCCATGGCCAAAAAAAACATTCATTTCAATTACGGATATCGAAGTCGAAATTATCGACAGACAGCCGCAAAAGCGCTTTCCTTATTCGCCCCCCGATTTCCACCTGCCGCAAAGTCAACGTCATGGTTATCAATTCACCCCGTTCCCAAATCGCTCCACCGGCCTTGATGGCCACATAAACCTCGTTGGCCATTTTCCATCGGGTGTATTTCCGGGGCATTGAGCCAGGGGAACGGAATTGGTTTGGTGGGTAGAGGCCTGGGGAGGGGAAGGGGCAGGGGAAGGGGGTGGAAGCACAGGAGGGACGTAATGCACATGTCAATATTAAATGCGTTACCGGCGTCAATGACGTTAGCGCCACTTAACGATGTGAACAATGGCAGACGCAGGCTCGTTTCGATTTATCCAGATGCTGCTCACGTGGATACCTATCCGCTCTGCCACCCCAAAAATATCTCCCATAGCTGCAGCTCTCTGCTCGAATCTATAGATACGGATATATTGGGGCTTACACGGAGAGAAAATATTAACGGAGTTGTTATTGAAGAGTGTCTAATATGAAATGGTTAAGACTTTTACTCGAATTATCCTACATAAACATTTACATAATTATTTAGGACAGTATTCTTGTCGATATGGTAATAAAAAATTTAAAGTTTTAATCTTTTGTTTCGCTTAACTATTAAATAGCTATACATTTAAATAGCTATACAGTAAATAGCTATACATTTTATAGCTATTTAATAGTTAAGTTATTTTTGTACGTTGTCTAAGATTAAATCACACTCTTAAAATTATCATAAGAAGGAGAAAACGTTTATTAAAATATTCAAATTCATCCTCTAAATATTTTTAAGATCTATATATCAATACAATTGTATTACAAATTTGTAATGATTAAAAACAAATGCTAATTTATAATGTTAAGCTCTCTCTGTGCAAAATTACAGTGCTTTTAATATTTTCGAAAGTGGAACATGAAAAAATAAACTTTATTGATTTTAGCTTTATAAACCCACTTTTCGGCTTTTAAAATTAAACGTTATTCCTTATTGTCGCTAATATTATTAAAAATGAAAAACAAGAACTGATAAATAACTAATGCTATTCATAAAATTTGAACTTCTCTCTGTGTAGATTTGGAACGTACATAATTTTTTGCAAAGTGAGGCTCCGTTGACCCCGGTTCGTATGATGATGACGATAATAATTATGACATTGGAGTTGAAGTCCCCGGTCGTCCTACCGTTAATGTCCTGACAAATTTGCGCTCGAATAAATTAAAATTTCAAACTGATTTGTTGCCGCCTGCTCTTTGGCGTCCCGTTTTTGTGAAATTATTTTTGATTTATTTCGCATGGAATTTATGTTAATGCGAATGCGAAATTATTTCGTTTCCTCTGCCGCCGCTGGGCGATGCTGTCCCTCATTAAATCGTGTTATTACATTGCCAGAGCTGTCGCTTATTTTTATTTATTACTGAAAGGGAAGCCCCCTGACCCCTGACCCGCCGATCCGACGCACTCGCGCCGAATAAGTGGCAAAAAGTTCCCGTCTGCTTGGCGAAAAACAAAAACCAAAAAAAAAAAAAAGAAAAAAGAATACAAAGCGCAGCATCCGCCAACTTTCAACTTGCAACTTCCAGCGAGCTTGGAGAGTTTTCATAAATATTTATGACTCCATTAAGGTGTGCATAAGACACACTCTGGAGGGTGTCCTGCCGGAGGACCTCCTCCCCCCGGCCGCCCCCTCAAGCTTGTCTGCTCCGGAGCTCGGAGCACTCATTCATGGCTTTAGTCGGTTGTTTGTGTTTGCACATCCCTGCAACTTGTTGTAAGCCGGGCCATAAAGCCAATCGCCTGCATTGACTACGCACTGCGGAAAGAGGGATCGGGGATAACTATTTGGCTTTGGGATTGAATGAAACAGGAAGGCTTGAATAGAGTTATGGACACACAGAGGACGTGATTTTGAAGGTTATATCATTATGATTGTGCGGAGGATATTGGAAAATGGATTGGCGATTGGCATGTGCAAATCCCATCTGGATTGCTCTCTAGATATTTTTAAAGCTGAACCGATCTTAAGGTAAATATGGCCAAAGAATAGATCACACGAAAAATCTGGGTTGTACTCTACATTAGAGTTACTTCAAATACTTTAAATCTATTATCCTTAAATAAAGTTCATCAATTTTCTTCTCTGCTACATTCCCATTTTACAACACGCTTTATTGTCTTATTTCTTTTGGGGATAATTTCCATCCATCTGTTACCATTTGCAAGGCATGCATTTTTCAAGCGTCTTCCTTCCGCTGTCGCAAAAAAATCTTCATTATAAATATTGAAATTCTTTATGTGACATAAAGAAGTTATCTTTCATTTTATAAATGCAAATACCGCATCAAAAACACAGCAGCCAAGCAGTTGACAAGAAAGAAAAACAAAAATTAGTGAGAAAAATCAGAGGGAAAATAGCAACGAAAAGCGAACGGGGGCAAAGCTAAATAGAATTCAAGTTGTGAACTGAAAATTCACATAGATATGCGTCTATATATATAATCTGCTGTGTGTATATATATCATCAGAAGGAGACTGACGGCGCCAGCCAGCCAAAAAGGATGCAGGAGACAGGACACGCCGACAGACGGAGGCCAGACGACGGTGCAGTCCACCCACGCCATAGACGCTCGACCCACTCCTGAATAATGCATGCAAAAATACAAAAAAGGGGAAAATAAATATGGGGAAAATAGAAAAAATAAAGCACACACACACTGCCCCACCAGCCGGAGTATCTGTGTGTATAACTCTCGCTAAGTGCGAAAGTGAGTTGCATAGATGCAGCCGAGCAGATAGAGCAACATGGGTCAGGACATGGCAGCATCCAAGCCAACAGGGAGCAAAATAGGGCTGCCCCGGGGAAAGCGGGCAGGCAGGGGGGGGAAGGGGGCGGTGTTTGGGGCACGCAGGAGTGAAAAGAGCGAAGACAGGCTGCCAAGACTGCTGTGCTGTAATATTTTCCTTAAATTATGTGATAAATATAAATATACAGACATTTATATACGCACACTGGGCGATATCATGGCAGGTACTTGAAACATTGCAACTAGCAAGCTGAATTTATTCTATATATACCAATTTAAGCTTCTACAAAATATTGTGTAAGCCCCTTAACTTTTTAAAACAAAAATTACATTTCATTTCAAGAAAGCAAGGTAGTTAATTTAAGAAAGGTTTGTAATCAACTCACTAGATTTCTTTTTTCTTGACCCATTTTTTGTTTCCTTTTATAGATATTTTATTTCCTATTCTAGATAACCAGTCTAACTCACTAAATTTCTACAAAAAAAATATTTTATAACAGAAAGTATTATTTTCTTTTCCTAATTACATATGTATAATAAATGTGAAGGGGTTTTTTCTCCGTGCAGATATATATCTAGGGCCCTAGAAATATGCAAGGAACCAGGACAAGGGGACTTTTGTTTATTAGTGTAAGTGGCAAGACTCTGGCGACAGAAGACAACAGACGGCAGGACTTCAAGGATGCCTGGCTTTGTTGCTCCGGCAGTAATTGGAATTCTCTCCTAGCTGGGGCACAAAAATGAAAAGTCCCACCGAGATCCCGCCTGAGATGACAAGTTAAAAGGAAAGAAAGTGTCCGGGAAGCCTCACCTGATCCGTAAAGTTGTCCGTGTGGAAGAGGACCTTCACGTAGCTGGTCTCGCTGATGAATGTCTGCGGCTGTTCCGCCTCTCCGCAAAACATTCCGGGCTCCCTGCGATTCGAGACATCCGTCTTGGCGTTGCCATCAACAATCTGCAACAATGGGAGCAGGCAAAACTCAATTCGTGTGTGTGTCGCATATGTCATCGCTTATTCGGCGATATAAATTAGCTTCAACATGAAGTGGGGGGAGGGAGATAAATCAACAGCTGGCCACTGGCCACACCCACCTGCAAATAGCCGCCCTCGCAGTGGGTGGCATTGAGCAGCTGACCCACTTTGAACTTCTTGAACCGCAGGCGCAGCACAAAGTCGCGCGGCGCCCCCTTCAGCGTCCTGAAGCGGTACCAGCAGGTCAGCGGGCGGCCCACGTTCTGGTTGCTGACCTCCGGCGAGCTGATGTCCTCGAAAATGTCCACCGTCTTGTTGCAGTGGTCCCTCGATACGTCCGACGAGCTGCCACTCCCACCGCCGCCGCCGCCGCCTCCTCCGCCGCCACCACCTCCGCCGCTGCCACTGCCACCTGGAAAATACAGAATTGCAATTCATTACTAAAAGGTTTTTAAACAAAAGAAGAAAGTATAATAATAATTTTGTTAAGGAATTATAAGGTATTATATTATATATTATAATAATTTTGTTGGCAGAATGGGTAAAGAAAGTAAAAATTGTTTGACAAACCTTTTTAAATTACTATTCTCCAAATAATAGTAATCCATTATTTAACTATTTATTTATAAAAATTCTAAAGCGATATGATTTTAAATTAAATACGCCCACACTTCCATTACTTAAACTTTACTGTCAAAGATTTTATAAGGCGATCTAGTTTCAGGGTCATTTGAAAGTATAACATTTATTCTCATAACTTAAATTATTTAAACTCGAACTTATTTGGTGGCAAATAATTTTTCCAGAAATTTAAATAAATGATGCTGTTTAATTAAGATCTTTGCAAAACGAAATCTTAACTTAAGAACATTTTTTTTGGGACCATTTAGGAAATTCTAAAAATGTTGCAAACCTTCTGCAATTACATTCGCTTAGACAATGGAAACAACATTTTTAAAACAGAGTAACCCACATTCAAACTGTAATCTTTCGATATGAATCAAGTTTATGAACTCCCATATTAGCTAACAATGGGGCACCCTTTTAAACTTTTGCCTCCTATTTTAGGTTCATGGCAACCTAAAGTCGTGCTACCGATTTAAGCTTAGATACCATGTGTTGTGCTTTTTGCCAATCTCGCCAGCGGATCTTAAGTTACTTTCATGTGGGCATGCTAAACCACAAGTCGAGGCTTATTAATCTCCAGCCACCGCTTTTACCTCTACTTTTATCTGGTGGAACAAAAAAACAAGCTCAGAGCTCCTGCGGCCGTTTCTATTCATTGTGCTTAATTTATACAGCGAAATGCATAAATGACAAAAGGACATTGTGCTGAATTTGTAATTCAAGTCTGGCTGTTAACAATGCCATCCCCTCACGGTCTTCAATTCTAGCCTTCTTCTGTGGGGCAGGGGTACTACCCCACATGCAAAAGACGCAGACGTCGTTGTCCCTGACTGTGACAAAGACCAAAAAAGAGAGAAGGTCCTGCCACGCCCCCTCCGCCCCAGCGCCCACTTTAGCAGTCAAGGCGCGTAAAATTTTAAGGAGAACACTGAGAAAAGAGGAGAGCACTGAAAACTGAAAAGATTGTGAGGAGAGGGGGAGGGGGGTGGATGGGGAGATTCGTGTCGAGAGTCGAGTTTTCGCGTCGAGTGTTTGTGTGGTCTGCTTTATAAATTACCCCAAAAGGCGAGTGCAACTCCTTGCCGAGGATCTTTTCGCCTATAATGCAAAAATATTCTTGTGCTCAACTTTTTAATCAGAGAAGCGAACTTGCTGGGTTTCGTGGGAGTTGGCAAACAAGGAGGTTACGTGACCAACATTTTTTGTTTCTCCATTTTTCCTTCAGTTTGCATTTCTCTGATTGTTTTGCTGTTTTTATTATTTGCCTAACTTTCTGCCGCCGTTCCGTAGTTAAATTATGAATGACAAATGTGAGATGAATAAAGAAATACGTATTGGGTACAGTAGGGCACAAAAAGTGTTGGCAAATGCGATTTACTTTAACATTTAACCGCCTCACTTTCATTAAGTGCTTAGAGTAATTACAGTCAACCGAAGGAATATCCACTTCACGCATATCCTTAACAGGTCCCACTAATTGAATCGGAGACTTAATTAATATGAGCAAAGCTTTGCTTTTCATGCCACGGCCTCTCGCAACCAACATCAAAAGGGATTTAATTAAATGAAATATCATACACTTTCATTTGGCTTTAAGGTGGGGAAACCACAGGAGGAGTTAGGGCAAGGATATCGCTTCAAAGGGTCGCCTTTGTGCAAATCGATACACGCGAACGTACATCACAATTTTGACGAAACGCAATCAGCTTAGCTGCAGGCAAACCCACGGAACCACCCATCCGGAACCACTGAAACCGCCAGCCAATATCGCCATCACCCGCGCGGCATGTGGTCGGAGCTTAACAAGGATCCCCATCCTGTCCTGTGGGTTTCTTAAGCTGAAATCAAGAAGGATTAGGGGTCGGCTGGGAGGCAACACTTTGGTGGGTGGTCTCCAAATGAAGGCTGGCTGGCTGGCTGGCTGATGGAAATCGCCGAAGGCGACAGGCGAGATGGCGTCTAACAAATCTGTTTAATTTATCAGCGTTTCATTATGCAATACACATTCTATGAAAATGCCTCCTACTGTGTGGCCGCAGTTTTTCCTTGTTGTGCCTCGCTCCCTTGTCAGGATAAACAGGAAAATTTTTGCTTTAAATTCAGACTGTGGTAATTAGCGGTGGACAGGGAAAGTTTAGGGTATATAAAGATGGAAATACTTTGAACGTTTTCTTATTAATTATTTGCGAGTGAAATTCAAGAATATTTATAATTAATTTCAATGTGTGCTTTAGCAAATATGTCTTTTACATATATTTATATATAGTTGCTTTGTTACGGAAACATTTTGTGTCCTAATCAAAATTATAATATAAGTAATAAAAGCAACGGATTGTTCAATTGAAATGTTTACTATTCTACCGAAGAGTAAAACCTGATAAATTTCTCGTTTAATTTCTGGGGCTTATGTTTCAAAGCATCCCATAAATAACTCCAGTTTCATGGCCGTGCACCGCATTCCCAAATGTCCGATGAAAACGTTGATGAAAGATCTTTTAAAGTTTTTACGGTCCTGGCAAAGAAAAAACAAACCATCACTCAGCCGAGGCCTTTGGCCCCGTCAGCAGTTGCAGTTCAAGAAGAAAGCAGACTGAGAGCCATGATTTAAACACTCGCCAAGTGCCAGACGGCAAAGTCCAACTGGTGGCACTCACTCACTTGTTAAGCCTTAAGTCGGCTCACAGTCTCTGCTCCCCATCCAGCCCCTGTTCCTGCTGCCCCTCACTTGACTTCACCCTTGCCCTCGTGGTCCCCTGGTTCTTGGATCCCTCGTTCTTTGGTCCTTAATCTTCGTCCTGTAAAGTTCACACAACTATTGTCACATGCGATACACCCACTCAATGGGTTACAAGCCCATTGAGAAGTTGAAGTTGGGGAGAGAAAGGCAACAGCGACTAGAAAACAATATCTAGTAGTCAATACACACAGAAAAAATAAAAGACTATTTTCTTTTATTAAAATAATTGGAATATTTCAATTTATTAATAATCAATGGCATTTTAAGAACCGGTTTTAATTTATTAAACTATTTTTGAAAAAAAGTATTAAATGCCCAATATAGAACACACAAATACTTATTTTAATACATGATAAAATATTTCATATTAGAACTTTTATCTTATTAAATATGAGGCATGTGCTTCAATAAGGCAAGAATAAACGTTTCAACGTTTTAATGAAAACTTGATGTGGAAAAATTAGCCTCTTTCTATGACTTTTACTCCAAGTGTAAACTAGAGTTTAGCTTTTCCTCTTAGCTCCCTCTAACGCTTTTTAGCCTTCAGGCGGATTCTGGCTTATCGATTAGATGCGCTCGGGCGACCTGCAAAGAAGGAAATACTAGTGGACTCAATCTCCTTTTCTGTTTCTCTCCGCCAGCTATTGGTGCAGCTTAAGGAAAAGCTGGGGAAAATGCTGAGAGTCGCTGGTCCTTTGCATATTCCCGCCACTTCCTTGCCTGATTGTCCCTGTCCTTGGCCACATGTTGATATATTGTCAACAGACGCACATCGCATTTGTCTCCGCTTTCCATTGGCTTTTCGTGTGGGCTGGGGCAGCCCCGCCCCCTTGACTCCTGTATGTCCCTTTTTTGATAAAGGTTGACAAGCGTTCCGCCCCAGCCACTCCTCTCCACCCCCCTCCTTTCCATCGTCCTTGTCAACCGCCATTGAGGCCGTGACGCGGCAGACATGAAAATCGATTATGAAAATCGTTTGTTCAACATTTTTCACGCAGCTACGCAGCGGCAGTGGAAAAGGAGACGGAAAAATGGTGAAAGTGCGGGGAACAGATCGAGAGCTTTTCAGTTGTCGCTGCCTCGTAGATTTCGCTTTTTTGCATTTGCATAAATATTTTAATAGAATTTTCGTCCCTAAAGCGGCTTTCACTATTTTTCAGCTGAGACCGCTCCCATTCATCCCATCCCTCGTCTCGTAAAGATTGATGTTTAATGTGGGGCCCTGGAAAAGGGACGAAAGGAATGAAATGAAATTGACTTATTCAAATAAGTGATTTACCACTTGACGACAACGAAGAACCCAAAACTCGTAAAATACGGCAACAACAAGGAATTTGCATAAAATTGGAAAAGGAACTGCCAAACAACAGCACTCAAAAATGGTTCGGAAACTTACGTTTGGCCATCAAAAATTGAAGTGGGTCTTCTTAACGAAATAAATGCCAAGGTTTGATTGAACGAAATGTTTGGGGAAATCTATCTATTGACGTATTAAATTAATACGGATTCAAGACGAGTGTTAGGTCAAGGGTTAAATGGAAATCTATTTGAATAATAACCAATTTACCTTCCACATTCAAAGGATGAAGTTTACAATACGTATTTAGTTTCCTTAGATCTCAACATAGCTTACTGATTTTCAAGTTTGATATACCTATTTATCAATGAACTAAAATTGGCAGGGATTTGTTGATGTCTAGAGATAAGTTAAGTAAAGCGTGTAAAATAATTTGTAATTCCCTGGAATTATTGACTTAATTAAGATAAGCAAAGACTCATTTCAATTCCTTGTCTTTCGTTCCATAGATCAAGTAAGTCAAATGTCGGGTTATATTTAAAGTCTATCTATGAAGCGACTTTATGCCACACACAAAACACATTTCTTTTAATTAATAATTCCCATTTTATTTTATTGCACATACACGAGTTTTCTTTCCAGGCAAGTTAAATACATTCTTCTTTAAGGCATTTA